GAACGTAGCATAAGATGGTTGCACGGTTTAGAAGCGATGAGAATAAGGTATCAAAGATGCCGGAAATGGGAGCTACAAAATGTAGCTATGCTATGCAACGATTTTTTTTTCTGTGATTACCTTGTCGATGGTAACATCCACTTTAGTTGAGTGATGTGGGAACTAGATCGTTCCACATAAAGGCGGGGTGTCAAGCTTTGTAGCTTAACTTGAGACTCTCCCATGTACAGGTTAAGCTATGCACTCGACCGTGTGAAGAAAGTGAGCGCTTCGTTTGACATTTTGGCTGTGTCGTTCTAGTAAGTTGGTGATATGGATGATATGGTTTGGGTGGCCTGTGGACATGTTGTTGATGACGACGGGGAAAATGCAATTGACGGTGGGGTCTTCACCAACGACCCAAGAAAGAACAAAGCAATTCAAAAAAAATCAACCTTAGCCGAGCAAAGCTGAAAGCAGGTAAAAACAGGTTCCTCGACCGAGCAGCGTTCAATAGCAGAGGCCTCAAGCACATCTAAAACAACTTTGGACCAAGCAGTCTAACCGTCAAAAAAATACAGGGGCGGAAAAGGAACCATGTTTGATGCACAGAGTTGGTTCAAATGAAACTTTAACGTTGTCTACGTCGTCTATGTATTGTCACCTCGTCACCTTGTGTCTTGTAACTGTTTATGGCCAAAGTAGTAGTTGCAATTTTATTAGACGGGTGCTGTCTGTTTTGACCAACAAACATTTGGCCTGTTTCAATTTTTACCTGGAGGTGAAAAGACGCCAGTTCATGCCAGGTAAACCGGAAATATGATAGACAATGTCAGTTGAACTCAACTAAGCACAAACACTTAGCATTGTCTTCCAACACTTGGAGTTGTGTTCCAATGAAAAATTGAATTTTTATGATTCCAGGAGTCTATTTTTCAGGCTTTGTTTTGTTGAGCCATCGCTTCACCCAAGGCTGAAAGCGTTGCCAGTGTCTCTTGCACTTCTAAGTGTGCGTTTTTTGAGCATGGAAGTTGTTGGAAGCAACGTGCTATGTGTCATGTTTTCATGTTTTCATCTCATCCGTTGTTTGCAAATTGTTCCACGGGTTTAAACAAACGTTTGATACAGCATATGAACCAGAGCTGTTCCATAGTCTGCTAGGATTTCCAAGCAGCAGAGCCACGACACGAGCCCTCGAGTTTCATGGTCTTCCAATCGAAAAACGAGCGGACACGACGACAGGGTCCTCCTCGCGCATCGAGCGCCATGTCCATCGCGCCTTTAGTGGACTTGGCCCAGACTCTACAGGCGTGGCGCAGGGGCTGGGGAAGTCGAGTGGCTCATGGGGGGGCTCCCAGTCCGGGACCATCCGGTTCGGCTGATTGGCAGACCTTGGGTAGAGGACCACCATCATTTTCTTTGATCCAGTCATGCGATTGTGTCTTAGATGTACAGCAGGTCCCACACTTTTCTTCTTTGCTCTTCGTTTGCCTGGCCGCTATTCTCCAGAATTGGATGATGGCCTTGGCCTTGCCCGAGACTTTCAGCCGATATCATTTTAGGTTTTCCCTTGTGCCTTTTTGGTGCGCGTAAAATGGGCAAATGATTGAGCGGTTGCTTTGCCAAGGGGAGCAGACCAGATGAAATAGGACTTCCAATTTTTTCCTGAACTTTCTTATCACTTCCCACCACAAGATCACCATGGGTTGCTCTTTTGTTGGCCTTGTTCTCCTCCAACAATTTCTTATGTTTTTCTGGTTCCAGTCTTCACGAGCGAGAGAGAGAGAGAGAGAGAGAGTATGTCCTTCGATCTCAACAGCCGTTTTCTCGTTCTGGTGATGGTCATTCGCTGGCTGCACATGTTTGGCGCAGTCATTTCTTGTGCAATCACTAGATCCAAATCACCTCTGATGTCATCTCTGCCTTTGTTGCAATGCGTCTGCTATCCCCATCCAACGTGCAGGAGGTGGCTGCCCTCAGTGGCCACGCCTCGCAAGCGCAGCGCTCCGCCCGCATCGCGGCGCAGCTGTCCGACGAGCCGCGCGCCGCGGTCGGCGCGGTGTCCCCGCCGCCGAGCGGGGTGGGGACCACGCTGCACGTGTCGCTGCGGGAGCTTCACGAGGGACACTTGGTGGAACGGAGAGACCGGGAGAATGGGAAGGGAGGGAGCTGCAATGGTGCGGGTTTGGCGGGAAGGGTGGTAGAGCCTGATTGTTGGAGGGACGACATGGCAGCATTCTAAAGATTATGAAAGACATTTAAAGATGATCTAGGTCCTTTGCTTGGGACCTTTGCTCCTGGACCCTAAAAGACAGGAACATAGACTGTGCACCTGGCCCTGGGTCAACCGTCATGCCGTTGCCCCAATGTTTGGGCAATTCCTCAGCATGTTACATAAAAACAAGTGGCTCAATCTGCAGGAGTTCCTCAAAGCTGGTGGGATGGTACCCAGAGGTAGTTGGATGGCACCGTTGACTTGTCAACGCCCTGTTTTGCAAGGATGGCAGGAGTTCTAGACAAGAGCCCCTGCATGAGATGGTTTGTGTTTCTGTTTTGTTTTTTAATGGTGCCAGCGGCGGCACTTTTTGTCACCTCTTAAGGACAACTGCTGCTTTATCTCACCACAAACTGCTTCACTTTTCCCACATCAAGGTCACCCTGGATACCCAACCAACCCCCCACACCACCCGCCGACCGTTTTTCGGTCCACGGACCGGAAAGAAAGGCGCCGCGCTGCTCCGCCTGCGCCAGGTCGTGAGCGGCATGAGTCGGAGCTCCAAAGCCTCCAGAGCAAACTCTCCCAGGCGGCGATGCGCGGGGTCGCTGCGCCTCGAAAGGATCTCCTCTCGACGAGGGGACGAGTGGGCGCGCACGACGCGAGTCTTGCGCAAGAGCGCAAGAGCGCGGCTGGGAGACGATGGCGTACGAGCCTGTGTGTGAGCCAGGGGGAGAAGCTTGTGAGGCTCGCGTCTTTGTTGGTCTAGTTTAGATATGTTTAGATATTAGAGTGACGGACATAATTATACCAGGACCAGCCAACGGATATCCCTCAGTGGTGTAGGGTAGTCTATTGGAGACGCCTTGGATGGTCCGGGTATAGAACCGACTAGTTGCAACCAGCCTCTTTCAAGCACGTTGTTAGAAACTGGATTCGATTCCTCACCTCGATCCTGGACGTTTTCGACAGGTTCACAGCCATATGATTCCGTCAGTGAAAAGAGACCACCCGTGTAATAGGAAGGTCCAGGTCACCTACAACTCCAGGTTCTGCAAACCTGCAGCGACCCACCTTCAGAACTCTGTCATGATAAGACTGACTGGTGCTCAGATGTGCTCAGCAATCAATGAGTGAATGGATCCGAAGGCATCGGTATAGTGGGGTCTTGCGCTTCTTCCCTACTAAGCTCCAGTCTGAAGACTGATTGAATCTGAACTGGGGGGTTGGACTAGGACAAGTCAAAGGGAATGGTCCGAAGTTCCGACCGAACGTAGGGCCAAAGGTCCGAGGTTCTAAGTGACATAGGCTGCTTTCGTGTTCCTTGTTCCCCCCGGGGTCGAACGCCCCAGGCATTTGAAGTCACCAAGGGACGGTGGAAGCCTTCGCGTTCCAAGCACCGCCGGGTCGAACCGAACCGAGGTCCGAAACGAACCCGAGACCGCTCCCCAAGTCGGTCCGCAACGGACCCGGGACGGCGGGGCTCCACCGGCTTCGTATGGCTTCGTTGGATGTCCCGGTCTTTCAGGGGGAGTTCCATGGGTTTTCGATGGATCGGACGAGTGGCCGGTGACACACCCAGGGTCCGAACAGGAGACCCGGGCTGGGACAGAATCTGGGCGACACTGGGACCGGAGAACCCGCTGAAATGGAAGATCACATGTGGGAAACCTCTTTGACTCTTCAGGTTTCACCTTTTCAACAAGGTGAAAGCACCATGTGGGTCAATCGGTCAATCCTTAGACTCAGCTGGTGTGGCATTTCAGACCCGAACCAGCATGTGTTAGATCCCGGCCCAAGAGGACCACCGGAAAGCCCCCCTTTTCTCCTCCGCAGTGGGCGGTAGGCGGAACAGCAGTTGAAGTACTTGGTCGAGGAGATGCGCTCACACGTGAGGCGGCCGTGCGTGACTGTGCCGCGCCAACACAACGGCCCATGTTGCTTTGCCCCACCCGGACCCTCACAGAAAGCAAGTTTTACTGGATCTTTGGACTTTGAGTGTCACTGAATCACCCCGGATGGTTTGGGACCCTGGGAAATTCCATGCATGAACATGCATGAACTATGTTGATGGTCCAACACGGGTGTCCGCAAGGGAAAGGTGTCATGTGCCAGATCCTTCGTTTCTTTGGCGGCGGAGTGGTTGGATTGATGATGGACCGCCAAAAGGAGTTCAATGACAAGTCCAGTCACCCAACTCCAAACAATGGGTCTGGGATGGTCCGGGTGTATTTTGCCAAGCCCAGTTTCGACCAGGACCATTCTTTGGAAGGTCAAAAAGGAACACCTGTTTCAGGGAATAGTACCATCGAATACCTCGTGGGAAGCCACCCTAAAAATCTGGTTTCAGGTTTTGTTCACCATCAAAAAGATGGTCATCACCACCTCAAGAACCTAAACCAACTTTAGTGGGCCAAACCAGTGAAGTTCATGTCGTCTTTGCATCGGTTTCACTTTCACAGATCCCTTTTTTCTGCAAAAACCTGGTCGAGTGCCTGGGCTCCAAAAGCAGCTCTAAGAAGCCGTGGACAGGGATCTCACAGAAGAAGTGGCCAGCCTTGGGACCGCGCAAGCGGACGACAGGCGGCGGCGGGTCGCAGCTGTCGGTCAGGGTGTCTTGAGTTCCCATGGGGTCTGCCAGCCTATGAGGAATCATGGGGTGAGGAATCAATGTAGCATCCATTCTTGAAGCACCAGCACCAAACCACAAACCCCTTCGTCCCCGCTTCGTCCACTCCTTGTTGGCTCCCCCACAGCCCTGCATCGCAACCTGGGACTTTTGGGCCGTGCGCCGCCGGTGCGACCGAAGCGGCGTGATGGCGGTGCGACCTTACCGCCCAACCGCCGCTGCTTCGCCAAACGGACCAGGCAGTGGATGAAAGCTCACAAGCACGAGATGTTGGTGGACTTGGAGTCGTTGTTGCTCGGCAGTGTTTTCTGAGCATTTTGGTGCCACCTTAGTGTTGGAGCTTGGAATTTTTGTGCAGCATGCGGAGACTGAGGATGTTCTTGGAGTCGCAAAGCATACGATGGCAAGGAACATGCAAGAACCAAAGGAAACAAAATACCTGAGGTCACAAGATAACACCATGAAGAAATCCGGCGGATTGGTAACCGGCTTTCGGAACAAAAGTCGACTTTGCCTCAAAGTCATTTTTCCACCTGCCCACTAGCTCAGTAGTGGGGTCCGCTAGTGGGGTCCCCCTGCCCTTGGCTTTCACAACCTCGATTGCTGCGGCAAACTTCACGTAGCAGCCTGGTAGTTACATGCAGGATTCTCATTCTCCATCTTCACCAAGGAGCTGCCAGATAAATTCATTCCCCCGCCTGGGACTGTTGACTTTCAGAGTTTTTGGGATTGTGGACGGGTTCTGCCAAAGACCCTCAGAACTGGCATCTTACCGCACCGAAAATGAACTGGGTCCCTCAGAACTGGAAGAGCCTGGAACACCTGGATGTCTTGATGTGGCTCCATGAACCGCTGGTCAGCTTGTCAGGACTAGTGACCGACTTGGAACCTTCATAAATCTTCTTCATGATTCATGATGGCTGTAGCGCTACCTAGAGCCTGAATGACCTCCATTATGGACCAGCAACCACCCAACATATGCTCTTTTCATGTCTCTCCTATCAAGACAGAGGTCATGTCTGGGTTCCAGTTGTATAATTCCACCTATAGCTACTGACGCTACTGATGGTTGTTCCATTATGGCACCGCTTCCGGTCTCCCGTCGTCCGGCTCTGGCACCCAGGACTCAGGCCTTGCAAGACAACAAAGCATCGCTCGAGGCACGAGACACGACCGTGCGGACCGGGCGCTGGTTTGTCCCGATGTGTTTGGGAAAGAGAAAGGGATTGGTGAGGAAGAGAAGAAACGCTAACATGGGGTTTTGGGCAGCTGAGTAGCGCTCTGTCCAAAAACGTGAGCAGAACGTACAACTCGTTTCCAGCTACCGGCTACCTGTGTAATGAGTCGGGTTGGTGGATCCGACACTATCTCCTTTTTTCTTTGTAAGCTTTTTTGGCGTGGAACGTTTGGGGGGGGCTGTGGAAGTGAAGCTTCCGGGCCCACCATTAATTTAAAGGGGCTTCCTGCATGGTTTTACTACGGATTTTGGACAAAAAACAACCAGGTCAACCTTTTCTTTGAATGGCCTTGGAAGGCTAGGGCATGCCTCGGGTCTTGACGAGAAGTTCCAGCATGGAACATGCCGAAGCAGGATGCGACCAGAAATCGAAACATGCATAACGAGCGAACATCTCAAAGGTAACCCTGTCCCAGGCGAAGGAAAGAGATGGAAAGGGTAATCCCTTATCTCACTAACATGGAAGTGGACCATCACCTGTCCGTAGAGCAAAATCGTCTTCCAGGGGCCTATTTTCCACCAGAGTGTAGTCCCTCATCCTCAAAGTCAAAGCAGTGCACGGCAGCTGTCTCGACCAGATAGAATCATGCAGCCTTGCATAGGCCGGGTATCGCTTGGACAGTGACCAGTCCACCGTGAAAAGGGGCTTTCCAACCACAGTTTCACCAGATTTCCAGATGGGGTTGAAGTCTGCAACTTCGGCAAGTCTGATAGTTCATCCTTTCCCGTCCTTTGCCTGTCGCGCCTGACACCCTCCGAGCCGGCTCTCAGCTCCGCAACCTTGGTGCCAGGACCATGATGCACGCATCGTGGCGAACCTGACCGCCGAAAGGGAGGCGCGCGCCGCCAGCAGCGATGCACTTCGGCGGTTGAAGGAGAAGAACCTTGGCAAAAAGGAAGGGATGAGACTCATGGGAGCGGTTCCTTGACTCATGGGCTTCCTTTGAGCCTTGGACCACCCTGCCGCCACCCATTGGGTCACCACTCTTGTGCCGTGCTCGGGGCTCAGGATCGAAGAGATCGACGGGAAGATGCAGGAGATGCGTCGAACCCACGAGGAGCACCCCTCCGATCCTGCGATCTGCGTCGTCGGAGCGGACGGACCGGACAGTGGGAAAGCGGGACCCCGAGATGGGCGAGCACTCGCTTGTGCACTTGAAATTTACCTCGCTTGTGCACTTGAAATTTACCTCGCTTGTGCACTTGTACGATGACGATGACGAATGCTACACTTCTAGTACCACTGCATCTTTCTACTGCTACAAATGCGATGTTGACGACGACCACTACTACTCTTCTACTCTTCCAGTACTACTACTACTACTACTACTACTACTGCTACTGCTACTGCTACTGCTACTGCTGCTGCTGCTGCTGCTGCTGCTGCTGCTCCTGCTACTGCTACTGCTACTGCTACTGCTACTACTACTAGTACTACTACTACTAGTACTACTACTACTACTACTACTACTACTACTACTATTACTATTACTATTACTACCAGGACCAGCGCCACCACCGTGTATAGGCTGATGCCGAACCGATGCCCCAACCGATGCTGCGGAGTGACAAAAGGATCCCTGGTAAACATAAGTAAGGTATGTTAGTGGTTCGAATGACCGGAAGGAACACCCAAGCCCGATCCATGTTGACACCCCACCCAACCCCACCCCACCCGAAGGTAAGATGTGATGATGTGGCCGCGTGGGCCAATCATTCCATTAGATCCCCACCCACCCCCCCCCCCCCCCCCCCCCCCCCCCCAGGTAAGATGTGATGATGTGGCCGCGCGGGCCAAATTGAGATCATTAACAATTCCCACATCTCACCATCATTTCCCATCGATGCGCAAGTGACCCGCTGAGTCGATGAAGTCGATGCGTAAGTGACTCTCCGATGCGCAAGTGACCCCCGATGCGCAAGTGACCCGTTTTGCGATGCGCAAGTGACTCTCCTGCCTCAGTAACCTCACCTAATTACATGTCAGGTGCAAGAACTTACATTGTTTGGTGGTTGAGTATCTTTTCATTTTCTCCTACCCCCCCACCCAATAGATTGTTGGTGGTTGAATGCCCTTTCACCTTCACTTTCCCCCTGAAAGTGCGCAAGTGAGTGCTAAGTGCGCAAGTGAGGTGAAGTGCGCAAGTGAGGTTATTTGGGGGTGCGCAAGTGAGTGCTTGGCCCCCCGAGATGGGAGGGGTTGGGGCGGAGGCGGTTTTCGGAAGGGGTTGGGAACGGGTTCGGAACGTTCATGTTTTAGGGCCTGGAGTTTGGGGGGCTTCTCTTCCCGGAGTTTGGGAGGTTCGAAGAACTCGTTGTTCGAAAGGGATGAAACCGATCGTCGCCGATCGCAATGTTTCTTATGGTTTCTTGGGAGAGCAGATCTTTGGGTTGCCCTGGAGGCCGGCGATTCCGTCGAGGCGAACTGTTCCCAAAAGATATGGACCGAGCGGCAAAGGGCAAAGCCCATATTTGTGACCACCCAATTTCAGGGGTTACCCTTTCTCCAATAAACATGGAAGTGGAGCATGCGCCTACTCACTGAGGATGCCATCCACTTCCACGATCGTTCAGCAAAAATAGCATTTTTGAAGAACCTCTGGCTGAACACGTCACCTACCGCAGAGGCAATCAGCAGCCAGAGACTTCTAACTGCTGGACATGTTGGTCTTGACCGCCAGAGTCTTACCATTTGAAACACCCTCTCAGGCTCTCAGGGCTGGGTGGTTTTGCCACATGGGCTTGTTCATCTGCAAAAAACCTGGTGCTTCTCATGGTGCAAAAGTGGTTCCAAAAGTGGTGCTACATGGTTTTTGTTTATATTTGTTTATATATATATATATTTTTTTTTTCCAATGCTTTTCCTGGTTAAACGTGAAGAACTTCAGTCTCAAGTTGCTCCGTCCGGGTTCCCAAGCTCGGGATGTGGCGGGACGTGGCGCCAAAAGACCACGCGTGGTCGGCCCTGCTCTGAAGGGCCACAAGACCTGTTTGATCATGGATTCAGGCTTGAAGATAGAGGGGGAATGTCCTCCACAATCCACCGGAGATGACATTCCACAATCCACCTTTTAGCTTGTTGCCCAAACAGCCAGTTCTGCTGGAAGAGCATTGACGAGAGATATCATCAGGAGTATGGGTCATGTTCCTTTTGGATGGTGCTCTTTGCCGAAGCACTCAGACTACTATGACCCGAATCGCCTACCTATGGACTTCCAATAAATCCTTTTGGAAACCTAAATCGTTCACAACACCTCAGGGAGATGCCAGAGCCGCGGAGCTTGTTCTTTTGTGTCTCGCCCGGTGATGCAGTGCACAGATCTGTCATCGGTGAGAGATTCGCTCCACCAGGACGAGTCCACGCAGCAGTCTTCCCGGCTCTCTGAGGCGAGGGCGCCACGAGGGCGAGGGAAGGTGACGAGCACGATTTGTTTTTCGCTATTCTGAAGAGATTCGCTTTGGATGGAGGGCTTGAATGGTAGAACTTCGAGGACTTAGGACCTGGGGCCTGTGTTCTTTGTCTTTACCAGGTAGCCGGGTAGAGCGGGAAGCAGCGGCATTTTCAGGAGCTCATTCTCATGAAGCCGGAATGGTTTCCGTCAAGTGTTTCCTTTTGTTTTTCTTTCCACGGTTTTGAACATTGTGGACTCTGAGAAAGCTTTCAACTGAAAGCTCTAGGCAAAAAGACGGTGTTCCTTGCCACACGGTCATGGTCGCTTGGGAGAGTTTCTATGTTTTAAATGGGCAAATTGAAGTGAGACGTTTGGTTGTTCAAAGCTCAACGACAGCAGTGGCGATGGACAGCAGTTATATAAGTTATATATACCTTATACCAGGTATATACACTGAAAAAAGACACGAACGCAGCTTGTGGCTGCCAGCGGCACAGGCGGATTTTCAACCTTGTTCCTGGTACTGAGCCGGTACACACCCGGTACACACCAACAAACGGCCTATTAACACACCTTTGACCAGCTTGGGGCCGGTACACACTCCGACCCGACCTGACCGCTCAGGTGCAACAAGCTTTCAGTTCCTTGGAGTCTGAAGTCCTGCAAACGTGCTCCAACCACAGGCACCGGTGAACCGCCGTTCCGCCGTTGGCACCGTTCGGTTGCGCCGTTCGGGTTGGCGCCGTTTGCGGTGCCGGTGCCGTCGGTTCGGACCGTGCCGAGGCGGGATCAAGGGCCAAGCAGGATGAGAACTGGTCATGGACCACCGGTTTCCCCACGTTTTGCTGAAATGGCATGAAAACGGTAGCAGGTTGAGGAGAGAACATGAGAGAACTTCCCAGTCCTTTGCTCGTCCTTTTCGGTGTCCCGGATCTCTCCACGAGTCGTGTCATGTGAAAAACCAGCGATTTGGCTACAGGAATGCTGTGCAGAGCACGCAGCAAGAAAGCCTGGAGCAGTTGACAGAAGTGCGACACCTGCTACATCAGCCGTGCGACCCAGACGGGGGTTTCTGGAAGAAAGACATCGGGAAGAAGAAGAAGAAGAAGAAGAAGAAGAAGAAGAAAAAGAAGACGAAGAGGAACGCCATTCACCTCACCACGTCCTGTTCGACTTTCGAGATGAGGCTGAAGAGATTCGCATCGGAGTTGGGTCAAGATCGAACCATGTTGCGGTTCAGTTTTTTGTTTTTTCGGGAGTTGAGGGTTCAGGAGTTGGGCAAGGAGCTTAGGTATGGGTGTACGAGTGTACGGGCGTACGAGTACTTACTTGAGGTACAAAAAATGTCCTGACTGTGCGTTTTGGTGTGTTCAAGTTTTGGTATCATCCTCGGACCTTCTCCAACATTGGAATTCAAGGAACTGACGCAACAACATCCTGCTGAAACTGTTTGGGGTTTGGTCCTGGTGTATATCATGGTTCTCTTTTTCTTCGGATGGCTCTCGAAGAACTTCCTCTGGATATGGCTCTGGCTCGTGACCCACCATGTTCGCCTGCCCTGGTCCCAGTCCACCACCATGCATCACCATGCGGGTTCGACCGAGCGCTCCTGGTGCCATGACCCACAGCCATAATATGTCTGGATGTTTGATGGCTATCCTTTAGTTGGGGGGTTTGATGGGACGCAAGAGCTGCTCGCAGTGCAAACTGGCAGGAAACCTTCCCACGAACGACCTCGGCACATGTTGGTTGGGAGTCTTGAGCTCGCTGTTCGATGAAAGGGCTTCACCGAAGCCGATGTTCCAACGGATTTTCGCTTCGCCGACCGGTGGGGCTTCACCGGTGGGTCCGGGACGGCGGCGGGAGTCCCGTCGCGGACGGCCAGCGAGAAGAGTCCACACGCAGTGCAGAGGGTTTCAGATCGTTCCAGGGTGCCTCAAAGAGCTGATTCCAGCCAACAGAGGTATCCAGTGACCGTAAATAGGACCCGCAACCTGGGGTACCCGACTGGGATAGTCGAACTAGGGTTCTTCAACCTCTGTTGGAGTGGACAAGGACACCAGCTGTTAGCTGATTCCTGGTGGACGGTCCATGCTTGGTTCGGTCCAAAGTCACGTGTGGGGGATCCTTTGAGGGATGTGTCTCTTTGCAAACGGACCTCGGTGTTTGTGCCCAAGGCATTACCGAGAGCATCAGGATCAGTTCAAGTCCTTTCAGCAGCTGATGCAAGAGGCTCTGCAGCTTCCCTTTTGCCGCGCAAGCGCCGCATGGGGACGCTGAGGGATGCTGAGAGTTGTTGTCGTGGTCGTTGTCGTTGTCATGGTCGTCGTCGTCGTGGTCGTGGTCGTGGTGGTTGTGGTTGTGGTTGTGGTTGTTGTTGTTGCTGCTGATTTTTTGCATCAAAAGGATGGGGTTGAAAGCAAGTGGAGCATCAGCTGCGCAGCACGTTTTCTTTTCTTCTTTTTTGCACCAGCACATCCTACAAAACAGGGCACTCAGTTGTTGTGGGACACAACATCACCTCTTTGATGTTTCCGCGGGTCTTCCAGCTGGCCCTGCTGCTACTGCTGGTGCCTGTGAGATGGACGGGTTCTGATCTGGGAACGACTGGTATTGCCAATAGAACCCACAAAGTGCATCAAAATCCTTGAGTTACTATGTAATAGCAATGGCCTCCAACCTAATAGCGATGGCCTCCAACCTAAATAGCGATGATGAAGGCCAGAGGATTGACAAAGTTATATGCCATTTGACCGTCTGCCACCGGGGCCGTCCGATGCATGTTTGATGCCATATGCCATATGCCACATGCCACCCTGACTTGTGCGACTCAAAGTCAATACTGTATACAAATGATAAGTATTTTAATACTTTTGTTGCATTTCACTCGATGTGATCCATGTAGGGATCAAACACCATCGCCTCGACACGAGGCGGTCAACTGCCATAAACACCCGGGTTGCTTATCCCTGGATGTCTAAAAGAGGCTCTAGCCCCTAATGAGAACACGTCCCATCGAGCTCGAACTACCTCCTGAGACGGTTGGGGTGGGTGCCAGGGGGGTCCAACCACCTTCTGAGAATATGATTGGAGTCGCAGGGCAGTATCCATGCTCCTCAAGAGCTGTGGGCATCGCTCGATGCTCCGAGCGCCCACCGGGACCGGTGGCACGCGCGATGAAATTTCCGCCAGGCCAAGCAAGCTTCGGAGGTGGGTCTAAATGAGCTCACCCTGCGCTTGGACAAGGTGCCGGAGTGGCCGGAGGAGTCCGAGTGGGTGTGCAGCGCAGGGCCGGTGTTCGGATCGAAGGTGAACAACCGGGCCGAGCGGTCCAGTCAGACCAAGGTTTTTCGGTCCGAAAGACCTCATGAAGTACTGGTTTTTTTCCTATGACCAGACCCAGTGAGGTCCAGTCAGACTAGTAGGTGTAACCTCGTAAACTCTGAAGGGCTGTGTATGAGACGAAAAGAGATCAACCTGGCACTTTTAAAGGTCTTCTGACCGGACACCCAGGAAGCGCTTGGGTACCAAACGTTTGGACATGCAGCGGCTGCCTTGGCCCTGAAAACAAGCTCATCGAGCAAAGAGCTGACTTATATATTACTTATGGTTTTTTTTTTAATCATTCTGTCAAAACAAACAATGGGTTAAGAGAACATCAAATAAAAATGACAATAACCTGAAACCTGAATGACCTCTATTTTAGACCACAAACCACCCAACATACGGTCAAACCTTCCTAATAAAAACAGAGGTCAATTGGCTTCGAGCGGGAACTCCTCGGACCGCAGGTCTGGGTGCGGTACCGGGACTGGTACGGTCTGGGTGAACGACCCTGGGGGTGGTTGGCCTGGTCCGGGTCGTGGCAGGTCTGCCACGAAAACCGGTCGGTTTCTCTGCGGAACGGAGATGTGCAGAGGGAGAAAGAAACCCAAGGGCCCTTTCGGGCTCAAACAGATGGCCCTGGCCACCTCTTGGAACTGCGTCCTCCCTGCTGCAAGTGAGATAGAGTAGGAAAACTATATAGATTGAACGAACCCTTTGTTTTGGAAGGTGCAACATTTTTGGATCATATCATGATGTCACAAACAAATGAGTTGCTCTCCACATGCCAAGCGCGCAATCCTTGGTCTCCATGTTCACACACCCAGAGATTGGTTCGCAGCTTCCCAAAAAGGGACACGAACGGCCTACGGCCCGTACGGCCTGGCCTCCGAACACTCTCACCTGACGAGCCCGCGCTCGGAGGCGCTTTGGCAACGCCCCGAACAGATGTCCCCCAGGGCTGAGCCGCTGACACAGGCGCCAACATGTTTAGAGCGATATGTGGCCGACGAGGGGGAAAGCCGGTTTTCCGAAGTGGTCTCCTGGCTGCTGTGTGTTCATGTTGCAGATCTTGAATGCATGAGTTCCGTACTTTCTTGGGGCAGGGGTTTGGTTGGCTGACCAGGAATCCCAAGGACTCCTATTTGTTAGCTGGGTTGAAACCGATCACCCGTTTCCGAGCATTTGTTTTTGCCTCCGGCCCGAGAACTAGAGTAGCATTTTACCAGTTTTTGAGATCATCATCATCAGCGTCATCCTCATCCTTTTCCTTTTCCTCTTCCTATTCCTTCTTCTTTTTCTTCGTCTTCTTCTTGGGCTTGATACAACTGTCATCAGGTTCACAACATTGTCATCATTTTCACAATATTGTCATCGGACGATTGTATGATCGAATCTAAATGGGGCGGGTTTGGGGGTTGGGTGGGTGAAAGAGTGACAGTGTGAACCCTGTGATTGCCGCTTGTCATGTCTTTTGTACACCAAAGCATATGGCATATGTTTTATCCTGAGAGTTGGACACAGAGTTTGCCACAGATCCGAGTCACTTGAGCTCCAGCGCCGGATTCAAAGGATCTGCCATGGTCAGTGCACGATCTTGTTAAAAAGATCGTGGTTTGTGCTATGTCACCATGGCTTCTGTAAACTCAGTTTGTATGTCCGGTTGTCGAACTGGCTGCCAAACGATCTCGGTGCATACAGAAACAATATACTGTAGATACCATTGGGGCTGTGCTCACAGGCATACGTGCCGAATTCGCTATGTTCCAAGCTATGGAGGAACATCAAGAACATCAATAGAAGTCAAGACGTGGCATCCAAGCGCCGGATGAAAAGCGCACATCACATCACTGAGGTTATTGAATGTTTTCTACCGGAAATTGCAATGTGTCATTGTGAGCGTTGGGTACGAGTAGAGCAACACTCTTGAACAAGCGGTGTGGAATTCAGCTTTCTATGTGCTAGCCCTACATGTCAAACCCAACGGAAACCCACACGTTTTGACAACATAAGAAAGCGCCCCCTAGAACCGTGAAAACACGCAAAAACAGCGCCTGGGAACCGTGATCCGGGGCTGGAGCGAGCTGCAGCTTGGGTGAAAGCTGTCTCCGTCAGACCTTCGGTCTGACGCCGGAGGTGACACGTCCCTTCAGCCCACGCGTGGTGGTGGTAGAGGAGATGGGGACTGGCCGGGATGGAATTGAGAGGATCCGGCGAAGTATGGAGGCCAGGAAGCAGGAAGCACCAACGTGGATTTCAAGGGGTCTCAAGATTTTGTGCATGTTTAGAACTCTGAACAACATGCTTAGTGTCCGCACAAATCAGGTTCTGTTCGGATTGTACAAGGCTTGTTTTTTGTGTTGGTTTCTGAGATGCAGTCCGGTTACCCGAAACCTGAAAGCCAACACGTGTCAAACCCCTGTGCTCTTGGGAATGGATCTTAGATGACGAGAACGTCTTTTTTCAATCTCCCTGGGAAGTGCATTTTTGGGAAGATGGACGGTGGAACACTCCGTGATGGCCTTCTCCACTTCCAACGAAACGCACTGGAATGGGTGGACGTGTATATAGTTAGATTCATAGACTAGTTTCAGAGTTTCACTTCTGGTGAAGGGACAAGGAAAGCAAAGCACAAAGCACTGGAAAAGATATGATTTCTTTGTGCCAATTGTTGACTCACAGGAACAATCCTGGAGAGACTTTCGTTTGACATTGAAGTAGGACCTCAAAAAAAACGCTTGTTCTGTTGTTAGGATGAGCAGAGGTATCCATGGCGAAAAATGCGCATGCGAGCGACTGCGAGCTGTTTCTATCTCATAGAAAGGGTGGCAAAATTATGAGAAGTCTTCTTCCTTCCACTCATATTGCACAAAAAACCACAGGATAGTAACTCGCAAATACCAATAACACCCATGACACCGCGATGCCTCTGCTTCCCGGATTTGGGTCCTATCAGATGATCCAATCCCTTTTTGGCCAAACCAACCCCCGGCTCATGGGGTTTCCGCGCTCGGCTGGGCTCCCCTCCCGTTTCTGCCGAAACTCCGCCGCCCAGGAGGGCCCTGCCTCGCCCCTGTGCCGGCACAGTCCCTGCGTGGCGCGCAGTCCCTGTTCGCCCGGGACGGGAGCTGCGTGGAGCATGGCCATGGAAGAGATGCGACAGACGCTGAGCGGTGGACGTGGACCGGTAAGTGGACGTGAACGACCGGCAGTTGCAACAGACCTCACTTGTGGAACGTATATCCTGGGTACGGTAGAAGACATTTTGATGACAGAGTCTTCTTGGAACATGGGGATCACCTCCTTTGGGTTCCTTTTCTCCCTGGTCTCCAGAGGTTTCAGCCAAACAGGCTTGGCCTCTGCCCCCCGGATCCACGCCCTCACTGATCAGAGGAAAGATCGTTCTCTCAAATTCTTTGGGGATTCGGGGCTGAAAAAATCTTGGCACATAGTATCACCACCATTTCTCTCGGTTTACATCATACAAGACTAACTCTTGGATATTTTGGATCAATCGACGTTGATAGACTTTTGGCTTTCGGTGCTTCCCCACGCCAAGGACCTTGGAGATGAAACTGGATCACTTGGAGAGCAAGATGAGACTCGGATGAAGCAAAATGATAGACATGAGACGAGCATGGCATATGGAGAGTCTCAACGAGCCAGTTTGGTCCTTGCGTATTTGGTCCGACGGCCACTTTTCTATCAGCTACTAGAGCGAAGCATTTCGTGAAAACAGTCCAAAACGCGGGCTCAACAATCAGTATACGGTTTGGAGCTGCGACGACAGGTCTGTACCCTTCAGTCCTCCTTGACAAAAAGCTTCGCTGCCGCCGGGATCGGTCGCGCTCTTGACTTTCCGGACCCGGTGGACCTTCTGAAGAGCTGAACGCCATGAGCTGAAGGTCTGTCCCAGTACACCTTTGGAGCCGCCGGGTTGAAGATCAGAACATCACTATTTTAAGAGATGGACAGATGGAAAGGCCTGCAACCAGGCACCTATCATCATCCACTGGGCCCTGGCAATGGGATAGACCCAACTGATAGCCTATCAGATCCTACTTGTATGCTTTGTCATGGCGGGGCCCGGTGGAAGTTGGCTTCTCCTCCAGACCAAGCATAGGTCATTGGGTTTGTGTGTCTCTACGAGACCCAGGTCTCTTTCTTTGATTCTGTGGTCAGATTTGAAAGAGGACATCTCCTGCATGGCCCTATGTACTTGGGTATTTCTCATCGTCCGACCGAGTCCTTTGACCCTCAGTCGGACGGAGATTCTCACCGACCGAGATAGTGATCTCTCGCAGCTCTCGTGACCTTCGTGTACTCCTATTACGGGCAAACACTGGTCTCCACCTTCCTGGCAATAGGGCACAATGTGGGTGGGCAAACACATCCTGGTCGTTTCCTTCACATCCTGGTCGTTGCCATCCTCCACTCTATATACCTTGTTTGGTCTTGGGAACCCGTGCGTGTTTTTCGTCTTAACTGGATCCTCCGGGCAGTAGCCCCCAGCAAACCAGCCACCAGTCCGCCCTCCACGACTTCTCTCTCTCTTGCTCCTCCCGTAAGGAAGCGGAGCATCAAACACCTCGCGGAAGACCTGGCGCAGAAACACCTGCACTTGTCCTCGGCGCTCGAGAAGACACCCGGTCTTCAGTTCAAAGTGCTTTCTTCTTGACCTGCTGCTTTTAGCTGGTGGTTGACCATTCAAAATCAATGGTTCTTCGGAATGCCCATTCAATCCATGGTGCTTGTCCGGGCATCGATCGCACGCGGCTCCGACATGTTATAATTTCTTCAAGACGTGAATTGGCCATGAAGCCCACGGAAAGTCGGCAAGTCCATGAGAAGTGAGAAAAAGGCCCCAGTCATATACTGGCGACGCATCCTGGATTCCTGGGCATCCGGTTTTTTTCTGTTTTCTTTGGAACCTGCCAGGTCGAATTTGGGTGTTTTTTTTTTCGTCAAGACGGCTATGTGGAGGGGTATTTGAGGAATGCCAAAAACAGCACAACATTAAGGAGCAGTAGAACAGCGAACAACATAAACAAAAGTATTAAAACACATCAATGTCTGAAATAGTTAAACACATAAAGCAAAAGGAACAACACAGAAACATAAGGAACAAATATAGTATACATATACAAAAGAACAACAAAGGACAACAAAGAACAATACAGAACATATAGAGAAATCACCAATCAAGACCAATAACGAACATAAAACAAAACAGGAACATGAAGAACAATGCAAGAACAGAACAGAAACACCAATAAGTGCAGATTTTTTTTTGGTTTCTCTTTATTTGAGACATACTGAGGATGTGGTGAGTTGTGCACTTTGCCACTCCTCACATCACCCCAAACTGCCTGGGCACTCTGAGTGCGGTCGATCCCGCCTCCAAAAGAGATCCCACAGGGTGTACCCTGGGTTTTGGCGAACACCACCTGAACAGAATCTTCCAAAATGAGTCAAGTCCCACCGTGCAGGAAGGGGCCGCCGGGGCCGCAGGGCGCAAGCAAAATGGGGCCTGTCAAAACAGAACATAAAAAAAGGATCTGTACCAGGCCCGCTGTTTGAGGTCCCCCTTAGAGTCCCTTAGAGGTTAAGGGATGTCCATTAACCACCCCGTAGGGGGCCCTGGTAAAGGTCCGCAGTATCTCGCCCGTCTTTGATCCGCAGTCCCCTCAAGACACCGATAGACGACAGACGAAAGGATATGAGGCCGGTACGACGCGAACAAAGCCGCGATCGAAGACTTGAGGTGCACCATGCTACAACGAACGACAGGTTACCAAGCACCATGCTACATCTGGATTCTTTCATGGGAATACAACCTCCTGGTTCTGGCTTTTCATGGGATCCCAACCTGGTTCTTACCACCAGCCGCGGGTGGTGCCCTGTCCCGCACACCTGCACCAGACCGTGTGACGCTGAGGAGCTCGGGTGTTCAAGAGGAGAGGCTGAGCGAGTTTCAATGCTGCATGCTGCGGACGTGGAAGGCCGTTTCTTGGAGGATCTCTGAGGGTTTGGGCTTCCTTCCTTGGGAGGAGGAGGTTTGGGCTTTCTTCCTTGGGCTTCCTTCTGAGGGTTTGGGCTTCCTTCCTTGAGGGGTTTGGGAGGAGTTTTTTTTGGGCGGACGACCCGTGGAAGCGACGAGGCCAGCGACCGCGGTCTTCGATGTTGGGCCCGATGTCATACATGTACTCAAGACTGATTTTTCCAGCTTTTGCCGGTGTTTCGTGATTTGTTTCACGAGGCTCCAAGACAGATGCACGTCTAAGACGGACCATCAGTTTTGTCTCCTTAAGCACCTGATATAAGCGATTCAGGGTCTGGGATGCTAAAGTTGATCCTGCCTTTTAGCTTGAGCCTGCCTAAAGGATGCGGCATCTTCGCAGGTCCAAGGTGGGACCCCAGTTTCTGGGAGTTTTCATGGATCAGCCATCGATCAGATGCTGCCAGTGGATCAAAACGCGTTTCCAGCCAGGTGAGGTGGGATGTGTTGAGGTCCCACCGAAAAACCTGGGATTCTTGGTTCTTAGTGCGTTAGTGCGAGCCCAGTTTTTGATGAACCATAGGGACCTGGGATGCTGATTTCACCATTCTCCCTGGGATGTTTGGTCATGGTATTTGGCAAACCTGGTGGCAGAGTTTCAGGGTGGTCGTGAATTGATCCCCAGAGTTTGAGGATTGACTTCCATGCTTTTTCGTATCTCCCAGCTCTCACTGATGCAGTCCGCTTCGCACTTTTGATCTCAAATCTGAATCCCACTTCCTTGAAGAGCTCCACTCCTGCGACCTTCTTTCCCCCCAAAAAAAACAACCTTGCCTTTTCAGGTGGAAAAACGAAAGCGCCGTTTTAGGGGGCGTAGAGACACTTTCGGCCATTCGATATTTGCTCCCGTGGTTTCTGGGCCCCTTTTTTGTGGACAGTTGTGGTGTCGGAGCTTTTTTGTTGCAAAGACGCCAGTTGCTGAGGAATGGCAACCAGAGCTGCAGAGGCTCAAGGAGACGGAACGCGGCGCAGCTCGGAGGAAGGACCTGGAGCGTCCAACAGAGGTATCCAGTGACCGTAAATAGGACCCTACCAGGGTACCATAGGGTACCTATGGGATAGTCTATAGGGTTCTTCAACCTCTGTTGGTTCTGTGGTATGGCATGTGTTACTGTATGTCGTTCTTGGACGGCTCTCTTTTTTGGAGGCGAGGCGAGGCTTCGCTGGCGTTTTTCGGGGAGGGCGGATTTCAAGCAAGTTGCGAGACATGATCGATTGTTGGGGGGGTTGTCCAGGGCAGAACTCAAGAACTTTGTATAGAATCTTTGAAGAACTGGCCCCGCCTGAAAGCAGGGCTGCAGACGGCGGTCTGTTGTTGTGAGCATCGGGTTTGAAGTCTTCAATCCACTTCATGTCACAAGAGGTGCCCACCACGTCCTCTCCAACATAGAGCTCATAGAACCTTCACAGACTCAGAAAAACTCCAGGCTGCAGAGGACCCAGTTGATCATCCATGGTGGGGCTTCCGAGTGGGGTGCAGCTCCCAGCAACAACCTCTCAGGATCGGTAGGTGTTCTGACCTGACGTCACCCAGAAATGGAACGGAGGGTGGTTCTTTGGATGAGAACTCGCCTGGCAGAGTATCTGGTCATTGAGTCATAGTAGTCATCCGCTGACCCAGGTCATGGATGACTTGCAAAGCAAGGTCCAACGCGCGTGCAAAGATGCTTGGCGTGTGGTCAAAAGTTCCGACAGGCCAGTTCCCCTTAAAGGCAGCGGATGAACACATGAGATACCTCCCCCAAAAGAGGCAGATCATACACCAGCACCCTCCTCAGGGAGGCTTTGTTGTAGACTTCAAAGTCGCAGGTGGTGACCTGTTGGAGGGTCCTGGTACTTGCAACACAATATATCTCCAGGGGTTCTCCCAAAATACAATTGTCATCCATTGAGCGGATCTTAAAGCGAACATCCGGAGCTCGAGAGCTGAGAGCACTTGGGTGGAGCTCTTCACGGGAGGATTCTTTGGTTCGGAGCTTTCATGCAGAGGGGGGATCCACATGTCAGGAGGTTTGTGTTTCATCATGGGGAACGATGGGGTATCATCCACATTTGGGGCCTTTTTGACGGACGCTTCGAGAGGTATTGGGGGGGGTTCAGGATTCAGGATGCGTCCAGAAAGGTATGGTGGATCGTGTGGATTCCCCATGCTGATCATCATGAGTCCTCAGCAAGCATCAGAGAAGACTTGAGACACCTCTCCGACTTCCAGGCTCTTGATCACACCATGTGTTCAGTCCTTCAGGGTGGAGACTGTAAACTGGAAGGTCTAAGGACTCTCTGCCGCAGTGCCACCACACCATCTACGATCGAACATCGCCCTTCCCAAAAAGCCGGTGGAGGCCAACAAAGGAACGGGCCCATCGTGCCCAAAAAAGGCTCCGCAACAAACATGAGCCACTGAGGATGCGGAGGCGGCGTCGACGCAAACGAGGAGTTTGCAGAAGGTTCAGAAGCACGTGGATGATAAACTGCAGGACAGCCTCTCCGTGCTTGGATTTGTGATTTGAGGCAACCCAAGTGCTTGGGTGACCGAGTGAAGCTGCATGTGCTGCCTGCAGTTTTGACGTTAGAGTAAGGTGGATTTGCTTAGAGTAGTTCTCTGGGGCCAGACACGAAATGACATTTTCCAGCCATTATTTTTAATTGTTTTGAATATTCTTACAACCTCAACATCAGTCAACACGAGCACTCGACTACTCTTGATAACCCCGGGATCAGAACGTCACTCAGAAGGTTTTACCGTTCTACCACCAGGATTTCGCTTGGTCTGCCTGGTTTTGGGGTGTCAGGGTCAGCAGCTCCAACTGGTTAGGTTGGGCTTTGGAACACAGTCTGGATGGCTTGTGGACAGCCTTGCCATATTGTTTCTTGAGACGCCAAACTCTCCAGACCTCGCGGTGAGCCAGAGTTTTCAGAGCGTGATTGGGGACTGTCTCGAAAGGTGGTTGCCACCCCCTCAGACTAGTTGGAACCCACTTTCAGGTCTATCAGATACTTAGGCAGGTCTTTGACCTTCAAGATGGACCCCTTTCAGGCCGACTTGGGTGGCTCGTCCGCCTTTGGACCGCCTCTGAGCCGTCCGGGAGCCTTTCCGTCCCAGGGTCCCATCGCCTGCGAAGGACATGCGGGTGAGCCTGGAGCAACATCAGGTGCAGCTGGATACGTTGAAAGGAGATGTGGCACCCCTGCCCCTCGGCACGCACAGCGGGCGCAGAGCGGCGCACGTTTCGCAGCGGGGGGAGAGAGTCAGGCAGAAAGATGTTCGTCAGGGACCTGAACCCAATGGCAGTTGGAGGGCTCAAAGTCTTCTTTCTTCTCTTTTTCCATGGTCTCCAACTTGCTATCGACCTCGCTGATCGAGGCTTTGAACCCGATCGACTGGTTCGTCGGTGACATCGGCGGTCGGTCAATCTCTTGAGGCCAAGTGCCATCAAGAGGGGTGACGACCTTTGGCGACACCTGGAAGGTGTCAAGGCTGGCATCGAGACGCTCGACAGGCCGGCGTTTCTCAAAGCGGATGATGGGCGACCGGGAGGTGGGTTTGGGGTAGGACCCTGACCGTGTGTGTTCACTCTTTCGGGAGTTTGGAGGGTGGAGGACCCGATTGTTTGGGGGTCTAGTTCGAGAGCTCCCAAGGAGTTTGGGGGGTATACAACCCACCATGAAGATGGTTCGAAAGGGTCGGTGCACTTTCCTTCCACCGCTCGAGTTCCGCTCCATCGTCGCACCGATGGACCTCTGTTTCGACCCATCACGCGTGTCCGCGAGCACGGAGTGCGAGCGGAGTGCGAGCCTCGCACCGGCAGAGCCGAGACAAAAACACACGTTCCTTTTTTTGGGGGAAAAGAGGAAGTAGCAGATCACCAGAGGCAGTGGAACCCTTTTTTTGGGATGGTTCCAAAGTGGACATGACCAGCTGATGCGTTGTGAGAAAGGTCCAATCTGTCGAGAAGGTGACATCTAGTGCAACGTGCCACTGGAAGTGCGGTCCAGAGTTGGCACCACTCAAAAACTCTTGGTCAGGTGGCTAAGGCTTCATCATTCCTTGTGCTACAGATTCCTTCTTTACGCCTCTCCACTTCAAGACGAACTTGCGCTGATCTTCAGCATCACTTCCCACCCACCTTCCGAACCTGCTCCGCTGCGATGGTTGCCAAGCTTCAGCACTTAAAAGGTGCGACTGGTCGACTCGTCCGATGGTTGCATCACATTTGGGTGTGACTAGTGACTAGCCTCCAGTAGAAGTGACTCGATACTACTAGTATCACCTGGGTTTCCCCAGTCCCAACCCCAAGAAAGAAGAAGTTCTGGATGTTTCCCCAGGATCTCGAGACCCGCGAAACCGATGTGAAGGATATTTTTGTTGACATACTGGAAGAACCCTTTTTGTGTTTCTGGTTGTTTGGGTCTACTCTCCGTCATCTTCCAGGAGTTCCAGGGTTTTGTCGGAAGCAGCTCGGCAGGAACACCCGAGCTGAGATCTTGGCCTTGGGACAACATCTCGAAGCCCAAGTGAGACCTGGTCGGACGGTGCCGGTGCCAGTGGGAGCGGGTACTGCGGGACCCACCAATCCTGTGGGACCCACCACAACTTGGGTGGCTTGGACTGGTGGAGTGGAGGAAAAGGGGGGAAAAGAGGGGAAAGGGAGAAGAAATTGGGGGAACTGCATTGTTATGACGAACATGTTTACCACTCCAAATTGGAGGAGGCCAGATGATGCCAGGATTCTTGGAAAAACAACACTTCGAATAATGCCACTGCGAGGTTCGGTTGGTTGGGTCATCATCAATGCCTCACGACATCATATGCCTCCAACTCAATGCGTTGATGCCTTCAAAAAGTCTTTGAGTGGAGGGAGGGCTCTTGCAGTATGCAGTCAATGTGCCAAAGGCAAGCCGTTACTAAGCACTACTACTACTACTACTACTACTCCTACTCCTACTCCTACTCCTACTCCTACTCCTACTCCTACTCCTACTCCTCCTACTCCTACTCCTACTACTCCTCCTACTACTACTCCTCCTCCTCCTGCTGCTGCTGCTGCTCCTGCTGCTGCTACTACTACTACTCCTACTCCTACTCCCGCTACTACTACTCCTGCCACCACCATCGCCGCCACTACTACTTCTACTTCTGGGAGCAGGGTGACAAAAAGTATATTCTTTTCCATGGACCTGGAGGGCCACCTTCTCTGATGTTCATGCTTCCGACCTGCTTCAGTTGGTCATCGGCGACCCAAAAGACATCGCTGCAACCGTGCATGACCGGGGTCATGGTTCAATGTTATAATGGTCCTTTCCCCAGATGGCGAGGGCTATTGGGGTTCTTACTTCAAGTTTAGGACAAGGTGCCTGTGTTAACCGTTTTTTCCCCACAGGACTCCAGGGCGGGATTTTGGGCAAAGCGATTCTAGAGTAGATGCTGCCCAGCCGATGGCCTCTGTTGCTGCGGGGCATCACCCAGTCCCATGACGAACACGACAGTAGACTAAAGACATGACACATAATGACAACACCAAACATAATGTCAACACATGCACAGCATATAACATATACCATGGGACAATGGTTCTTTCAAACATTCGAAGGCCTTATTTTCTGTAAGGGCTATGCTCCACCCGCCCAAGTTCTTCACGCCGCAAACATAGACGTTCATGTTGACATGGTCGCCTGGTTCGTACGGGGGCGAGCCCGCCCCCCTTCAGTACAGTCGGACTTCTTCCGGACTGGGTGTTGCGCACGTCTTTCCAATCAAATCACATCAAATCAAACGGGATGACTTCGTTTCTTCTTCTTCTTCTTCTTCACACGCCCGAAGTAGAGGCCTGTGCCCCGGTTTCCGAGGTCTCGGAGCCGGTGGCCACGGCGCCGCGGGCGCACGCGCGGCGGCCGGCGGCTGGGACGGAAGTGGAGGAAGCGGAGGGGGTGGAGCATGGGGTGACGCGGTTGCCCCGCAAGATGAAGAGTTTTAGGAAGGTTGGGAGGCCTCCGAAGATTGGGCAAATTGGAGGATTCTGCTCAAGTTGGAGTCTATTGGTGATGTAGGGTAGCGTAAGGAGGTTTGTACTGAATCTACTGTAGGAGAACACCGAATGGTGTCGTGGATTTTTGGGAGTTTGACCCAGTCACTGGATACAACAGGTCATCAAGGTCTCTACACGGTTCAGGCATCGCAGCAGCGCGACCGACTGTGCAAAGCCAAGGTGCCCTGGACGATTCCCAGTCCTGGTCTCTCCGACGTCACATGGCAAGACCGTGTGTTGTGTCGCGTGCGGAACTCGCGGGCCACTCAAGCGCTGTGTTGGGGCAGGTCGCAGGATCGACTTGGCACAATGGAATCATCTGCCTTGCAAGGTTCATAAAAAGAAAAGGTTGACCTGGTGTTGTAGTCTAAACTCCTTATTATATAGTAACTTAGTACAACTATGGACTATGGTTGTTCTGTAAAACCCATGACATTTAATGGTGGCAGGCATGGCCGTTGATGTGAAGCACCCTGACCCTTCAACACCTAGGCCAATGCAAAGCCTGAATAGACTTCGCTATCGACATTGATGTGGCCTAACACGACCTCAGCAAATCCCCAGCCTCTTCACCAGATTCATATCTTCGGACATCATCAGCATCGGATTGTCGGGATCCTGCCATGGTCATCACCTTGGCTCAGGACAGGTCACGGTGATCCGCCCAGTCCAGAGCCACCTTCATTGGTACCTTTCCCCGTGCTGACGAACCATTTCTTCGTCTTTGCACTTGAACTCCACTTATAGGTCACAGGAAACGGAACTCGCTCGAACTCAGATGAACGAAGTCACCATGTGATGAGCCAAGATTCGAAACAATGGGTCTCCGGTCTGGCCGGAACGCCGGAACGCCCTGACCCTGCCGTCGAGCACGGGGTGTCTTCGGACCCGTGGACTGTCACCTGAACGACGACCTGGTCGATGGCACCACCCTCCACGCTGCCTGGGAGCCATCGACCCCAAAACACCTCCGACCCGTTTGGAGCCAAAAAACTCGGTGCTGAGCTCCGTGGATCGTGGATGAAAGAAGCACCGAACAGAGGGAACTGGGCTGGTCGATGGAGTCCAACCAGTCCCAAACCAGAAATAGATGGTGGTTCCAGTCATTTTTCCAGGGGACACATCTAGAACTGTTTCCGGTTGGGACTGGGTTTCTAGGTCCTTCTGATCTCCACCAAAGGTGGCTTGTTTTCTTTCCCTAACAAGCCTACTCGCATCTACTTGACTCACTGGGACCCACCACACTGCAGCCATCCATCCCTCACCTTTCCGGGTTGCCCCGCACCTGGCACCCCCTATACGCGCCTGACCCAAACCCGACACGCGGCGGCCTTCCTGTCCGCAGTGGTGACACCGGACGCTCAGGCGCCTCCGATCGGTCCAAAGTGACCTGACCGTCGGCGTGTTTTCACTCCGCCCGGGGGTCTTCGGGTGTTTTCGCCGAAGAAGCCGGTGGTGCGCCAAGCGAATTCCGCCGGGTGGTGTGGCGAAGAAAGAGGTGCGGAGTGGGGGCCCTTCAGGGTGGGTCACAAACCGGGGGGGGAGGCCTGGGGTTGACCACGGAAAGGGAATAGAATGGATCAGAATGGACTAGGAGGTCAACCTACGAGGGTAGTGAACCAGGGCTCCAGGTGGGGAATATTGTCAACATGATAGGCTGAAGATGTGACAGGCCGTGGTTGGACATGATTGGAGGGTAAGCCATGCCCAGGTCAACTTTTAGGAGGGTTCTCCACCACAATCGGTCAACCCTGCACATGCGATGTTCCACTTCTGATCAAGTTGTTTGACCAGATTTTCCATATACTTTCCATATACAGAACATCCTTGGAAGACCGCGGACCCCTACGTTGGAAGACTGTCCGCACGCCCAGCACTTCGGCCGGACCGGTTCCCTTGGGAGCGGTTCCCTTAGGCCGGACCGGCAGACCATGCGGACGATGCGGACGGGTACATGCAGCACTGAAAGAGGTCAAGGAACTTTCAAAAAAGGTAACTCCCACACTTCGATGTTTTGGCCCAACGATTCAGGGGTGGCACCAAAAGCCGCAATGCCACAAACCGACCGAACAGTGGAATGACGAAAAAGACAGGTCACTCAGTCTGGAAACGTTTTGGACATTGTCGATGACAAGGTTGCGACACTTGCAACCCTCCCAAAGCCATCACTCTACCTTCCGACACCCTTACTTACACTCCCAACTCAAAACCCTGTCTACAGTCTTACAGCCTCTAACTACCCTGCCAGCCTTTCACTCGCGCCCTGAGCCCGCACGGACGCCATGGCTTTCATGGAGACTGATGCGGGGAAGGCGCTCCTGCGGCTGCTGAGCCGAGGGCATGCTGTGGGGAGGCCCAGCTGTGCCGGTTGGGAACGCCTGGAGATGACCAGGAGATGAGTTGGAAGGCCTGGAGCCGGACTTCACTGAGCACCCGGATGAGTGAAAGCGCCGGCCATAGAACTTCCTTCCTTCCTTTTCTGCCCAGTTTTGGGGGATGGCGTGGAAGTGTCGAGTATTCATGATGGGGCTCCTTCCTTCGATCTAGACGGGTGCTCGAGATACCCAAGCCCTTCTCCCCCACGCTCTTCAGCCAGCTGAGCCATTCAGATCCCAAGACTCGAAGGACATCCGACGACCCGCCTTTCGGACTCGCTCACCAAGCTCTGTGGCTGCCGAGAAAGCACCCGTTGAAGTCGAGTTCCGTTTGGGGTGAAGAGCCTTCGGACTCCTCGCCTCCGCACTCTCCGTTTGGGCATTGGTGTTGGGAGCTCCAAGCAGGGCAAACACACGCAACCTCCTGCCCCAGCTGCAAAAACACCCAGCTGAGTCTTGAGCGACCTGAACCAATCCCAAACGCCACGGCTCCGCCGCACGCGCCCTCCGCCCCACGCGCCTTCCGCTTCGCCCCACGCGCCGAGCTTCGCTTCGACCCAGGTCGTGGCCGAGCTGCAGCGCACCAAAGAGGCCTGCGACGCCGCGGCGCTGGGCGAGCCGCGGCTCCGCGCGGTGCTGCCGGACCGACGGCGCGGATGTTGGGGACGGGTGGTTCGCGTGTGGGCGTCGGATGGCCTAGTGGGAGGGGGGCAAGGTGGGGGGGTTGGGGAAGTTTGGGAAGAAAGGCAGGAAAGTCTGGATGAGCTCTGGCAACGATATTGCAGGAAACGGTATATCTTTGGTTTGACAGGGGTTTTGAAGGGAAAATCAGTAGAGGATGGTCTTGGTGGAGTATTTTGACTTGGGGAGTTGGCTTCAGAGAGAGGGTTTTCGTGACACCTACTAGTAAGGTATAGTAAGGTCATACTACCAGGGCATATCCAGGCCATCTCCGCCAGGTTCCCATTGTGCTCGCCGGGCCGCTCGCCGGGCCGCTCGCCGGAGACTCCACCGCAACGACGACTGGGAGCCGAAAGGCTGGAGATACCGACATACCATGCATAGTGTGGTGAAGGTTGGGACATCTTTTTTGGGGAATGGTCCTTGCCTCTAAGAAGCCGCTGGTTTGGGTTTTTGGCTTTGACCGTTTTTTCCAAAAACCAAGACCTGTTGCCATAGAAGCCTTGACCCGTTGAAGACAATGTGACCCGTTGAAGAGAACACCCTGCTCTGAAAGTCTGAAAAAGAGACCAGTTTGTAGACCATTCCTCAGTAGACCAGTTTGTGAGTGAGGTGGAACGCCCATAAGAAGAAAAGTGTGGGGTAGTTCATCGGTGACATACACACACATGTATAATATGTAGTTATATATATATATTATGATGTAAAGGATACAATGATATGATATCATTTATCTAATTTATCTAGATTCACAATGCATTCTTTCCAATCTAGATCCAATGAGCATCCAATCTAGATACATAGGTCTTCCTTTCACTTGTCTTTCGATCCACCAGGAGCTTCCGCTCTCCGCACCCTTCTCTCCAGGACTTCGTCGTGTTCCGCACCGAGGGCGCAATCGACCGAGTGGCCAACACACCGGAGAAGATGGATGCCTGGGAAGAGACCGAAGAGAGTCCCAGAACTGGGGTGGGTGGGTAGAAAAAGCCAAGTGGCACCCGCATTTTCCTTCCGAAAAGAAAGGAATCCTCATCCATCCATTTGGATCCAAAAGATACGGTTTCCTGGCGCTGGCCCCCGGAACCCCCCCTCACAAATAAGTTGGAGTCAGCATCTTGTTTGTTCCCAAGCAGTTGTCGCAAACTGGATGGGCTCCACCAACTTGCTGCATGACACACTTGCCAAATCTGTGACGCAAACTTCCCGTGCCCCTTTACAATCTGGTTTCTTGCTCCAAAGGCTGCTGTGAGCTGTGAGCTGTTTCACTGCGCACAGAAACACTGCACGGGTCTTGAACTGAGGAGATGGATGAGGAGAGCCGCGAGCTCAACCAAGAGCCTGCACAGCGCATCTTCCGAGTGCTGGCCGCCATCAAGTGCCTTGACTTGAGGGAGGACAGGATGAGTCAAAAGCTGGAGCCGTCCACCTCCCAGGTGGTCAACCAATAATTCCCTCACACCCAGCACAGCTGAAGGGACGTCCGGGACGCATGAAGGGCCATCGCGCAAATAAGGAGTCGTCGGTCGGTCAACCAAGATGATGATTCCTGCTTTCCCACAGCCCTTGATTTGGAGGAGGTTGCTTTTGGAATTTTCGCTTGTTCATCCCTTGGGGTTGGAAGATCACCAAATTCATGAAAAAGACTTCGAGTCCTTTTCAGTCCAGTTCTCTGACTGGTCACAGACGGCCCAATCAGCAAGAACGTTTCTTCAGTCCCAAGCAGGATCGAATTCCTGCCATTCTTGGAAGAACTACCTGGCCCTCCAACAGGTGGCTTCTAGAGATTCTGTGCATCATCGTCTGAACTGGAGGGCAAACATCGTCCTGGCTGGATGCCCCCAGACCGCTACTATCCGGTATCTCCGGACAGGACACCCAGACAGGTCTACGCAATCGCGTGGTAGATTGGGTTCTGGAACATCTGGTATAACATCTGTAGACTTGATTCATCAACACCTCCATGTAAAAGAGGTGGTCCCATCCCGGGAGGGTAGGAAAACAACTCAAGAGTCTCGTCTGTGCCACGTGGTGGCTCCAACCCGGTGTGGTGTGGTCCAGGGAGACCGTCGGAGACTGTGTGGGCTCCTTGGGCCTCATGGGCTCTCCATAGCCATAGCCATAGCTGTTACTGTATATGGTTGTACTACTTTCCAAGTCTAATGCACTACAAAAGGCACGTGTTTCCCAGGTTCCTGGGGCAGTCTAAGGTGCACCCTTGTTTTCATGTTCAATTCGCACTCAGCCTTGCATCCAGCATCGGCTTGGCCCTTTTCTGTGCCGCAAGCCCTTTGCTTTATAGAATGGGATCTACTGATGTACTACTGATCTTGCTCACACGCTGAAGAGTTCAGAGAGTTGTAGTGGATGTTTAGGTGTTCAGCAGAAGCCCCTCCCATCAAATCCAAGAAAAGCAGGTGTTCATCGACCAAGAAGCCGGTTTTGAAATAGGGAAACATGGGGACTTCACTTCCCATTATTTAATTTCATGTTGAGAGCTGAAGCCTCTGCTTGAGGAAGGCACATCAAGGCATGCAAGCGAGGGTGTGAGCCAAAAGAGCCTGGACTTTGCAGGTGATGGTCGTGAATGCATGTTAGGTCTGCTTCCAAGCGCGTTGAACACCATGCAGCCAACACATCCGCCCATCCGCCCTAGGCCTAGCTTCTTGAGCAGCCAACGAGTTGTCGGGTTTTGGAGCTCCAAATACTTCCCACTTCACCTGGCAACCGCCCGGTGCGGGCGGCGCGCGTCCACCGGTGCGACCCACATGCCCCCCCCGCGAGCCGCGACCCGCGCTGTCCCGCGCTGACCCGCTCGGCGCTCAGGAAGTATGCGGCGGATCTGGTGAGGCTTTTAGACGACTTGGACGCTGGAGCCTTTGTGGGACAGTCGCTGGAAGGTGCGCCGCTTCAGACGAAATGGCGCCCAAACTCCCATGCGGTCGGGTCGAGTCCTTCTTCGACATGCTCAGTGATTCTTTTTGGGGCCGAGCCTGACGAAGACCATGGTGCGTTCGTTTTTGTTTGAATATGCATTGTTATCCATTGTTTGTTTTCGATGTGTTGTGTCTTTTGTTGTGGAGGTTTGTCCAGGCCATGACCCAGGGAAGCACCTAATCGCCACCAAAAGGGAATGAGCAAATCGCCAACGCCACAACAGCTAAAGTCCTTACGGGTGCTCTACCTCACGAATCCATTTTTTTTGCTTTCTTGAATAAGTGTGATGGTGATGGTGGGTGTAGAATCGAAGAAAGCCTTGTTCGTTTCAGCTCGAGACGACCACCGGCGGACAGACTGGAGAACGTTCTGCGGACTTTTCTGCTGTTTCAAAGGCTTCTCAGCCTGGATCCTGCAACTGTCATGAGACCTACTTGGAATCTTGGTATTTAACCACCCGGTAGCCTTCTTGGCAAACTGGTGGGGAAGAAGCTTTTGGACGGACTTGTACCTTAAGGATCCCCAAGAGTTTTACTTTTTTGGTGCTGGCAGTAGCATTCTATAAGCTATAGGGCTTCCACTCAAAAAGAATCAGCCCTTCAACCGGTTCTACATTCCCAGAAATAGTCATGGAAGTGGATAGTATGGTCCCTGGCATGATCCTTCTCCTCTACAAACGATTTTTTTTCCACTCCATCGACACCAGGAATTTCAAGGAGTGAGGGTGTACATCGGACGGTGTACACGAACCGACCGCGTCCGCGACCCCCCGACCCCGACCCCGACCCCGACACCGACCCCGACCCCGACAGCGACGCCCGTGAACACCCGCGTCCGCGTCGGACGAGGCACCCTAAGAGATCCGCAGGGCGTCTTGCTGCCGGAGGCGGCCCCGGTGGACGGGTGGAGAATCCGGCGCGGGGAGAGCGGAAGAGACGGCATTTTTGGAGAGCAGAAGTGCAACAATCGGACTGTCCACATGGGGTTGTCTCTTTTGTATTGAATATGTTGGTTTTTTCTTGCTTTGATACTACATGTCTGCTATTTTAGGGGTGACGAGGATGTGCTCAAGTGGCATTGGAAGAGCTAGACCATTGGGGGCTTGGAATGCAGTGAGTCGGCTGCGGGGTGTCGAACCTCATTTCTGTGGACTTCTAAGCCCAACGGTGCGCCGCTGGCAGCGCCTAGCGAATGGGGGAATTGGGGGACCCCAAGATGTCAAGGCGCAGGAAGTGATGCATCTAGAGGCTAGCTTTCTATGGGCCGCGTAGTAGCAAAGACGCTCCTTCTGTGTGGAACCATTGGCTGAAAAGAAAGACATGGTCGGGTGCGTCGAAAGACACTTGGTGAGTCGATGCGTCGGATGTGAACGTGCATCCCAGAAGCGAGTCTTGGAGTTCTTTTTTCGCTTTTCGCATGTCCTGGAAACTCTTGTGGTGACGATGAGTCTTGCAAAGCATCAGTATGTGTTTCCTCACGAGAAGCTGGAGTGAAGATGCCCCAACCGTCTGAAACGATGCGAAGCTCGTGCAATCCAGTTGGGAGGAGGACCCAACCGCCAAGAGGATGTCATTCCGAACGCCCAGCTTGGACCCCCCCCCAACGTGCTCCAAGAACCGTGGGTCCGACAGGCAGCTTTGGTTCTGCGTCACGTTGGGATCGGTTTCAACGGTCGTCGTTCGGCACATGGCTCAGTCCGTTGACCGGTCTTCAACCTCTCGCAGTTCGTCCGCATGTGACAGGCAGTGGCGTTGCTGGGGACGATGCTGCTGATCCTTGAAGAAGGTCTGCCGGGCGAGGCACGGGTTGGGCGGCGGGTTGGAGTTGGGAAGAAGGGGTGGGTACAGCTTGCAGAGCTTGCAGAGCTTGCAGAGCTTGCAGAGCGCAAGCGAGGAGATTCCATCGATGATATATTACTGTATATATTCTTTTTTTTTTTTTTTAACAGACCCTATCCCAGTCCTTCATTCCTTCACAGAGCACCCGATCAACTGATCAAGCTGAGAGTTTGATGATCCTTTTACCTTTTCAAAGATCAACCAGAGGCTCCAGAGAGGAACCTCAAGGTCAATCACTGGCTCCAATTTTGCGATTTTTAACGACTTTTCACGCCACTGGAGTCGCTGGAGGCTTGTATGGCACCAAAGCTGGAGCTTGGCCAAAGAACTTACCCTCCCCAAAACACTTCTATCCAGTTCCTATCGTTCGTGCATTTGTTCCGTCCTTCCGCGGGATCGGAGGTCAACACTAGATCCTTCAGTGCGCTCCGCATGTGCACCTTCCGCAGTCACCCACTGGGTCCAGACCCCTCTTCGCCCGAAATGAAGAGCGCGCCGTTTCGCGGCCGAACTCGGCCGGGGCACCGAGCCTCGCGGCACGCGGCACGGCAGATGCGGGAGAGGGCCCTGGTGCTCTTCTATCGCTGCACCGTGGGCACTTGTCACTGGGATGAACGGTCGGTTTTTCGGGACATGGAGGCGGGGTCCGAAGCACACGAACGGCGCACCAGACGGGGGGGGGGTTGCAAAGGAAAGACCCCAGCTCCATGGATGGTCAAGGACGGACTGGATGTTGGGGGATGGAAAGGGAATGGACTTCAGTGTGGGGGGGTTCACTCACCAAGCTCAAATAACTTCCTTTTGTTTGCTGGAGCAATAGCTGAGTTTGATCATGGTTCACATGTTGGGTGGTTTTCTCCTCTTCATGATCTGTGGGATCAGTTCATTGCCATCTGGACGTTTTTGTCCGAATCACGCACTGGATCTGTGATCGTTCATCCAAGCCTAACAAGCCAACCAGCCAACCAGGTTTGGTGGAAAACCAGGGCCTTGCTATCTACTAACCCACTCCTCTCCTGGGGCCTCAGTTGAACAATTCGGGTTTTCAACCATCCCACTGTAGGTGAATCATGAATCTGAGTGAGAGTCGGAGTTGCTCAAGGTTCTCATTTTTCGGGACAACCCCTCCTCCAGCTCTCCATCCCCCTTTCCTCCACCGGCCTGCAACCCTGCAAACCCCAGCAGCCCGCACCGCACCTGCCGCCGTCTGCGCCGCCCTTCTCTTCTTCGCCGCGCCGCCCGGTCTGGCGAGGTGAAGAGCCGGAGGACTTCGCCGAAGTGTGCCGGCTCTTCAAGTCCACCGGCCGCCACGAGGCCCTCCGCGGATCGCGACCGCCGTAACCGGGCGGGGGCGGGAAGGGTCGCCACCAGGCCGGTGGGTGCGGGTGCTGGGGTCGCTGGGAGGGGATTTTGGTGCACCGCAGGTGAAGTGTGACCAAGGAAGCCAGGAAGTCAGAATGGGTTGTCGGAGATGTTGACGTGGATGAGGGGGCTTGAGGGAGCCTGATGGGGTATCAGTGATATCAGCCATTCAGGGGGAGACTGAGAATTTTGACCATCGCGTCCCCAAGCTTGAGATGTTCTATACCTATGTCCTCTTCTGCCAAGTGTTTGTGTGGTGGGTTCATGTGGGTTCAGTAAGACCACATTTTACGGTCATCGACTGATGGAACTTGTGGACAATTGGTGTTTTCTTTTTGCAACTTCTTTGCAGAGTTGATGTTCATCACATCCCAATCTCTTGGGTCGGGGCCATCCTTGGGGTCCAGTGGCTCGAGATCTTCGATGTCGCGCACGTCCGCAGTCGATCACCATCTTCTTCGATCACTAGGCCCTAGGCGTCCCCTCCGGAAGCCCCAAAACCGGACCTGGACCAAGTCGCAGGACTTGGCCAATCGGAAACCTGGCTATCCGGAGAACTACTTCGCACGTTTCGTCTTGCCGCCGCTTGGAGCATTTTTGGAGCCATGTGGAATCTGCTGGAATGGTTTTGGTTTTGATGTTTGATGTGTTTTGGGGGCAAAAGACGTTCCTTTTCAACAACGCAGCTCTGGAGTGATTTAGTGATTTGGGCGGAAGGTGCTGCATTCTTTTTGTTGTTTCTATTGGGAAAGCCACCCACCCTTCAGCCTCCAAAACACCAAGGCTGGGGAACAGTGGGCCGAGTAGGCGCTCCAAAGGCCCGGTGGATTCCAAGGGAACCACAGGAAACCACCCACGCTGCGTGCTCGGTACGATGTAAACACCCCCAAAACGATGGTCAACGTCGACTGGCCAGGCCCCGTCGGTACGATGGGACCATGCATTCTGGGATGTTTTTCCAATGCCGCTCTCCTGAAAGATGTCCCTGAAAGCCATTCTGGGATTCTATTTGGGCTTTTGGGCATGGGGCCTAGAGTTGTGCTGGGGGAAGAAGGCAGCTTTGTGAGCCTTTTTCATTGGTTGGTTGTGGCTTTTGGATGTTTTCGCCAGATGGGCGCGTATGAGTTCAGACCTTGTAACATGTGGGGCCAGGACGACTGGTCAGCCAGACACCACAAAGATCAGAGGTTTTCGCGGTGATTTCTGTGGATCAGAACCTTATTTTATTTTGCAGCGAAAACCCTCAGGCTTTTATTCTCTAAACTACACTCCATATGTGGAGCTTGATGTTGTTTCTTGCGGTCACCTCAATCTTGTTGCCACGTGGGTAAGTTCTCTCCCTTCATCCCCAACACCTGCTTTCATCACCTGCTGTGCTTTGGAGCGGCAGTCACTGCCCCGCCTCGATTTCCCCCTTCTGCTGCCGTCCTGCCATCCGGGATGCCGGACTGCAGCACCTCCCCTCCTGCCATCCCCTCCGGCCATGCTGGTGCAGCCCTCCTTCGCTTCCGAGGAAGGAGGCGCTGCGCCTGGTCATCGGCAAGCTGCAGACCGGCGACCTCTACGAGGCCCTGAAGCTTGACAGGGTGGTGGTCCGGCTGATTTGGATGGATTTGGGTTGAGCGCCCGCTGGGGCGGAGTGGGTGGGGCTGGGCGGTGGATGCTGTGCAGAAACTTGTGCATGTTGAGGTGCGTGAGTTTTGAATGTTTACTGGATCATGTGTGGAGCCTAGACCAGGCTGCGCAAGAGATGTCTCACACCCTTAGAAGGGCATTATAGCATTGACATGGATATTTGGACGAGAAAGGAACAGACGTTGTCATTTTACTGATTGTACTCATCCATCGCATCCAGAATTGGAGTCAATTCACATAAAATTCATCTTCAACGACAGCCCAAGAATGTATATTCCACTCCCGTTTTGGAGAGGGTTTGAACCGGCTGATTCAACGACCAAAGCACCACAAAACGGTCACCCGTCGTGAAACGGGCGTGTCTGCCACGTCGGGACGTGTTCACCCAGCCACGGCGTTCGGAACCCACGGAACCGGCGACGTGTTCGGCCACGGTGGCTTTTCTCGGGTTGCCGGTGCCCATGGAGAGGATCCGGCGCCAGATTGGATCACAGAGTCAGGCATCACTCCACTTGCGCAGCACAGAGTTGCGTTTGGGAGGCTCAAGGGTATCATCAGGTTGAGAATGGCCTCCTTTGCGGGATATGTACTGATATGGGTGTGTATTCAAGTACACGGGGGGGAGACCAACCTCCGTTCGACCCTTTTGGTCTACGGGTCCACTCAGCCAGGGCCGGGGAGCCTCGTCCCATCCGGTTGAGTGGGTGTGAGAAGGGCACCCTACCCTCCATGCATGGCACTCTGACATGTAGAAGTCCAATTGGACGATACTTTCTGAAGTAAAGGACATTCCCTTTCGGATCCCATGGTGTCAGACCCTTCTTTGGTGTCTTTGACTCCACTGTTACGGAACACGAGCTGCTTCGCTCCGCTGCGCTCCGCTGCGCTGAACCGCGGCCACTGACCGCTTCAGCCAGGCGAGTCGCCACTACCCGCTCCCCGAGCATCGCTCCCATGGCCTGTCCTCGCAAGCGGGGCTCCTGTGCCCCCCGCGAACGACTCGCGCGGGACGGTCGAATGGTCTGTGGTGGACGGTCGGGAGGTCTGTAGTCCCTGGTCAAGGGTCAAGGGTCACACCACGTCTTGGGCCGGAGAGGCCTGAAATTCGTCCACAGAGTTCGGAGTGGCCGAGTGGCCGGAGTGCTACGTCCGTCCGGCCCAGCGCCCATTTTAATGGCTTCCAAAACCACCCGAAAAACTCCAGATCTTTGATAGCAGACATATTTTTTGGGGGTGCTTCCTGAAGGCTTTCCAGTGATATTTGGAAGAGAAGGGTTTATCGACTCTTCTTGACACGTGACATCTGGTGCAATAAATGATGGCTGAGGCTGTTGCCGGGCCTTTTTTTCGGGGGGTCATCTACCCCAAACAAAAGGTCGGACATTGGCCATGGGGTGTGCTTCTGTGTTTCTATTTGTGAGTTGCACACGATTTCTCGATGCTTTATGCAGGTCTTCCGGGACCAATTTGCCAATAGGCCAGGTCAAGTGTTGCAGTGATTCAAGTTTGTCGGGGATGTTCGGCATGGCGTTCGAAATCATAGATGAGCGTGGTCTCAAAAGCCTTACAGATCCGACTATAAGTGAGTTGGACATTCCATGGACTTTTCGGATTGCTTTTTGTGTGAAAGGATTGGAATGTTTGTGAGAAAATAAGTGTCATTGGCTCGAGAAGACTTGAAGCCGATCAAAAAGGGAAGCTCACTGTTCAGGCAAGCACGAACATAGGATCTCGTGACTAAGAATGGTTTCGAACCAGGAAGCCATTTTCGAAACTCCAGAAAGCTTGAGTCGGACCTAGCACAAACTCATTGGCCTTCTCCATCATATGTCTATCCTTCAGCTAGGTTGTTGAGCCTCTTGATGTCCATTTCTTGAGCGGCTGACATCAGATCCACATGGAAAATGCCTCGACTGGATCACACCCATGGCCATCACCACAGGCTAAGCAGATGAAAAGACCAGGTCTGACAGAGAACCACACCAAGCCCGACATGTTGACCCAAGAAGAAGTGATTTCACGGGCCAAGAGTGCAGAGGTACCCCAGAGCCTTGTGGAATTCCTCCATGCAGAGGAGACTTATGAGAAGGGCTTGTCAATTGCTAGAGAACTGGATGCCTACAAGGCGGACAGAAGCAAGTGGACGGCCCGAGATCATGAATTGCAAGAAGCGAAATATCCAAGAAAGGTGTTGGAGTGGCCACTTGACTGGACCGTGATGTACTCGCAAGGCGATGAAGACCAGCTAGGAGGTGTGACCATTCTCCTGGGAAGTGAAGTCAACGCCTTGAGATGCGAGGAGGTCATTGTCGAGGAGTCGCCAGTCAGCCTGGTTGTTTCGATGAATGATGTGGACCCATCCCGCCCAGGATACCCGGAAGACTTGAAGAGTTTCATTGAAGGAAAAGGCCCAGTGAATTTGAGATACAAGGGCTCGGATTGGCCTCACCTAGCTGTGGGAACTTCATGGTGGTATTCTACCATCTTCGACTTCGTCAGCATCTGGAAGATGGCAGTCGTGGAAGTGGTGGCCAAAGTCTCCGAGCTGAAAAAGGAAAAGCAGCCTTGGCCTTCAGTCCTGGTGCATTGCTACTGGGGAGTCAATCGATCTTCAGCTTTCGCCATCGCTTTGATCATGGCGCTGGAGCGAGAGCGGGGTGTGGAAGTCGATGTGTTGGAAGCCATTCGCATGTCCTTAGGGACCTACAGACGAGCACTGCATCCCTGGGACATACGAGGATACTTCATCTATGCATTGGTCGCCTTTGAAGCCTGGCTGAGTGAGAACGCTGGAAGCTGGAGCTGACAAAGATGCAGGACTTGATGGGCCACCTTTGTTTGCCCAGCAAGGCCACGGAAGGAAGTTGTGCGCTTGCCTCGAAGTTGGAGCTGACAAAGATGCCGCCAAAGACGAAGACGAACAAAGCGTGGACTTGTGCTGCTGTCGCCCCAAAACCCCGTTGCTAGGTCCCCAAAGCGTCGCTGGGGTGTACGCTGGGTGTTCCGTAGGGCATGTTCACAGCACGCTGTTTAGTCTACAGTTTCTTTGATGTCTGACTAAATGGCAGTTTTAGATCGATCGATCGTGAAGAATTGGGGCTTGTGTCCTTGAACTGGACATGTATGAATAAAGGACAACTGTCATGGGCAGCCTTCCTTTTGTGGCCACTGATTGGGATGGAATTGTAGCCCGCTGATATCTTTTTCCTTCTGAGGTAGTGTAGGCAGCTGCTGGGTTGTGATGACATATTTACCTGTTTGGACTTGCCGAGGGAACCCTCCGCCTGAAAGCTCCAACACTGGTTTGACCAGTGATAGCCCTCGCGAACTGACTCCAACATGAAACTGTGCATTGGTTGACGCTCAAAAAGATAGAACACGTGGATGAACACGTAGAAGATGTGTTGGACGCCACTCTTTGTTTGGGGATCGCAAAAACAAGACAAGTCACATTTACACCATGAAGTCTTTTGCTCCCCCAGCCCTCGCCTCGGCTCTTGAGCGAAGGTACGTGTGTCTCTTCTTCGAGCCCAAGACCTTGGAGTCGGATTTCATGGCCACCGGGGAGAGGAAAACAGTCTCGGTTTCAAGAGCACAGCTCTCGGTTTTCGGACAGGTAGGGTGTCTAGAATGTCGCTGTCATTACTGTATTCGGCTTATGGGATGCAGAAAGTCTCCATTGAAGCGTCATTCTTGCACGTGGTGTGGGCCTTCGTTGGAACACTCCACCACCTAAGCTGATCCATCTAGCAGGGCCCCTGGTTTGGTGGGTATCTAATGATTGCCCCGGAAAGAGGTTAGGGCGAGAGGCTGTCCTCCTTTTCAAGTGAACGACCTCACAACACCCAGCGGTCTCGGTCTCGGTGGACACCTGGATGAAGAAGACTTTTCAGGTGAAAGGGCAAGCAGTCAAGTTCCAAGATGGCCCAATTTCACGAGATTTGTTGGTGAGCTCCCACACTCCAACTCACCAACATGGAAGTGATTGGCATGGTCCTTTCAAAGATTGTTGTCCTCTGCAAAGACTGAGGGTTTTCCTATGGAGTGTATCGAAATTTCAGTTCCTTAGGCATTCTCGGCGGATGAAATCATAACCTGGACTTGACTGGACCAGGCCTCATATTGACGGCGTGTCGGGCATCACCATAGCCAAAGCAAGTTGTCATTTCTTAATTCCTGGAACCCATTTGACCTCTGCTTTGAGAGGAAAAGACCATATTCTGGGTGGTTCGTAGTCCATTCAGGTTCTAGGATTGACCTCGGTTCAACTGTGGACAGGAGGATTTCAGGAAGGCAGAATCGTGGTGAAGCAGGTCGGTCTGGTGTCTTGAGTCAAAGCCGCCACCCCGGTGGCCGCGCCACGTGGCGCCGTGTGTCCATTCACATCCTGCCACCGGCTGCCACACCGAGTGGCTGCCACACCGAGTATGCAAACGCTCCGACCCGACCACCACCACGCGAAGAATCAACACCCCCGATACGGGCCCCGCCGACGAAGAAAACACCTCACCTGGCTGAGGCGATGCGTGAGATCGTGGATCGCTATTTTGGCGATAGTTGGGTGGTCGCTTATGCCCTAGGCGCGGGTGGAGTCGTTTGTTTCGACCCGCCTGTTTGCCGCCGGTGCAGACTGCCGCCGCGCAGTGGCCGCGCGTGGCCGCGCGTGGCGCGTACGCGTTTCTTCCGCGCCGGCAGGGCCGGTCGTCCGGGCGGAGGAATTGGTGCTTCAATCTTAACACCTGGTGGGCCGTTTTCGTGGGTCGTTCTGGGGTAGGCTCGAATGATCGTGGTTCGTAGGCAGGGTGGTCGGAGAAGCCCGTTCTCGCCGGTTTTCGTCGTTTCACCATCAAAAATCTCGGTTTTCACAGCAGGTTGGTGGATTTCACAGCCCCCCTCCTCCCTGGTCGCTTTGAGGAGCGAGCTTCGTTCCGGTGGAACTTCTATCGATTCGCATTACTAAGAAGCTTCAAAGACATACCAAAAAGCTTTTTGTTACTAGTCGCTTCAAAGACCGTTCCCAGTAGCTTGTCGCTCCCAGTAGCTTCTTGTTACTACAGGTGCAAGGATTCGCAGTGAAACGATTCCCAAGGCTTCACGGCAGACTTGCTGCAGATGTGGGCACCGTATCCGGCGGCGAAGCAGGCGCCAGGGGGGTTCACCAGTGTCGCGTGCGATCGCGGAGGCTCCACGGGGTCTGTGACATCGGCTGAAATGGCTGTGGGCTGGCCCATGGGGTAGGTTCAGACAACCATGTAGTTGTTTTTGTTTGCAGAAGAATTCGAGATCATGTTTTCTTGAAGAAATCCCTTGTTACACACAAACCCAAACACTCCAGCACCCATGAGTTTTGCGTTCCAGCTACCTTCCCACGTACAATCCAGGATGATCTTCTCTTTCCATGACTTTTTCGGTTGCCAGCCTCGTACACCCTGACACCCTGTCTTACAGACCAACAAGCACCGTGTACCCCGTAAAGGGCGATTTCTGAGGTGGCTTTGTTGTTTTTTGAGACCCACAGGTGTTGAGGGCCCTTCAAACAGCCAAGTGGGTGTGGGCAACTTCTTTGGCCTCAGAAGGGCAAGCAGTACAGGTGAGTGACCTTATGGAGTATGGACAGTATGGCTATCAGACCCTGCAAGATGAGTTCAGTGACCACCATTGTGGGGCATTGGAAAGGTCGTTTTTGGCGCTTGCCTTCTGAAGGCCCTGGGCCTTGAACCACGCCGCACTTCAGGCATTGGGGCACGCGGTCACGACAAGCAATGTGCGACAGCTCCAAGAAAGGCACATGGAGCGCTTAGCGGCCGCTTGATGAATGCGAGATGTTCTTGGACTGGGTTTGGAGCCTTCCCAAGCCCTCAAGATGGTTGAAGCAGAAAGGGATCAGGGGGTTGGGGCAAGTTCAGCAGGTGCAGCCTGTGGATGAAAACCTCACTGTCGGGTCACCGACGAGTCACCGTTTTTGCACAACTGTTCGAGACCGGTGCCCTGTGGTGGACGCTGTTTCAGTTCGAGAAGGCTCTATAGCCGGGATCCTTATCCGACTCCGGAACCCCCGAGGGTCCGGAGGTGTCGGGTCCAAGGATCCCCCTTCCCACCCTCCTTTGGAGCGAAGCGCGAGGTGCCCACCGTTCCGCGAAGACGTCGCTTTCACCGAGGGGGTCAAGGGCACAGGTCTTGGTGGCCTTTTTTCGAGAAGGGGGCCTTTTTCGGGTGCTCGTGGGTTTGCATTGGCCCGATGCAACACGGAAACCGGGTACCTAGTGCTGAACAAATGTGACCGTCAACCGTTTTTCGTGCCGGTTTTTCAGCCTCCACAAACCAGGTCTGTGGTGGATGGGCGGATGAAAAAGATCCTTTTTGACACCCCTGCTTTGGGGTGTCTAGCAGCACCCTTTAGGGCCTTAACAAACCCTTGTTTATTTGGGTTTTCTGTGAGCAAGAGCCCTTCTTGTGCCTGGCGCTTCGGATTCCGAGCAGGGCACAGCACAAGTGTTCCGGGCAGCGCAGCCAGCGCACCAGCTGGTGTTCCGCAGCTCTCCGTCGTTCTTCACCTGAGGATGCACAAGCAAAGCTCAAAGACTGTCTGATGGAAGGAGTCCTCACTGAGGACCTGTCAGTGGTCCGTGGGGAATAAACTGGTGGGAGAACAGTTTCAGTGTGGGCAAACTTGTTGGCCAAAGCAGTCAGGATGAAACTCTCGGACTCTCGGTCTGAGATTTGCATAGATATTACTTTTTGGCCTGGTGAAGTGACCAAAATGTAGGACCCTACAGGGCAGGGGTGCCCAATTCAAAGTCGGGTTCTTCAACCGCCAAAAGCTGGGAGCTTCGTGAACCGCCCGCGGTCAGGGCATGCAACTCTCTCCATGTCTGTTTCTCGAAAAGCGACGTTCCTTGACTTTGTTGTTTTTATGGGAGAGTCCGGGGATTGAAGAGAAGTTTTTGCGGCAACCGTCGCTGACACCATGACATCGTTCCTTTTTTTTCATACCGGCCCGATAGCGGGGTTGGGGGGTTTGTTATCTCAATTGGGGGGAATATTAGAAGAGTAGGGGGGGCTTGTTGTCTCAATTGGGCGGGGGCATTATTAGAAGAATGGGGAGGGGGGGACCTTGACATCCTCACCAACGTGGACATGCAACTCTTTCTAGAAACACCTTGTGATTCCAGACAGAACGCTGGTTTTGGAGACTTGATTCGTGACTGTGCTACAAAAGTGCGCTACAAGAGTGCATCACCAGAGTTTCGCCAGAGCTCTACAAGAGTGCCACGCAAGAGTGTCCCACAAGATAGTGCCACAAGAGTGTGCTACCAGAGTGACCTTTAAGACTGTGCCACAAGACAGTGCCACAAGAGTGTGCTACAGGCGTGCCCTACAAGAGTGCACCACAAGAGTGTCCTACAAAAATGGCGCGCTGAGATAGCCCACTTGGGCACCCAGTGCGACCGCCGGTTTAGTCCTTCACGTCTTCGCTCTGGTGACGCGCAGTCTAGACGTCCTTGCCCGAGTTCCGCTTTGTCACCTCACGTTGTGGTTCTCTTTGCGGCCAAGGCTCAAGTCGTGGTTCTCCGGCAAGCCATCCGATCCGGCCTTTCTCTTGTCGCCGCTGCGAAAGCTGTTGCGGTGAGCGGGCATACACGCGCCGAAAACAAGCGAAAAAAAAGCATGTGCTCTAACTACTTTCATTTCACATCCCCGTTCCAAGCACTTTGGAAAGAAGTGCATATCGCCTTGGCCTTGGTGTGTTGCGAACCTTTGCAGCCTTATAGTGTTCCCCCGATAGCTCCCTTGTCCCTTCAGATCTAAAGTAAAACTCACTCCACCCTAAGAATCCTTGGCTGACAACGCGCCGAAATGCTGGGCGCGAAAGCGGGTTCAAACCGCTCCCTTGCGGACAAGGGCCCGACCAAGGAGAGGCGTGTCAACAGGTGATTGAGCTATGTTGACCAGACCTGACATGATGGGTATCCCAGTCACTGCCCGAGTCATGACTCATTGTCGGTTCATTTACGGTGTTCGGTGAAGATCGCCGTTGACCATCAAAATTGCCTGTTGAAGAGACACACCTCGACCCATGTGTGTGACTTTGGCAAAGAAAACGACCATGCAGTGCTCTCCTTTTGTTCTTGACACGGCAGTTCTTTCAATAAACACCACAACAACACCTCCTTTTGGGTTCTTCTTTCCTCGCGGCGATGTCACCCCGGCTTTGGGACCTTTCTGTTTCCTATGTCGCGCAACGCAGGAGACGTATTCGGATGTTTCTTGTTCTGCAGTCTTTGGAGGAAGCCTCTGGCTCCTTTCCGTTGCTGTGCGTGGCATGCTTTTCGTTTCGCTGCCGCTGCGTGCAAGTGTATTTGTAAATGTTTGTGTGTGTGACGAGATTTTGGTGTGCATCTAGGCAGATGCCTATGTACATTTGTGCATAGCAATATTTAGCCGCCGCATCAAATCCAGGTCAAATGGGTTTCAGACACTGACATGTCCTTGAACTTTTCTATTGGTTTCAGACTTCCCCTGCCATTGGAAGAAGGTGTGATGCGGCCAAGGATCTTGAAAGAGCGCGTGGTGAGAGAGCCGCTTGGATGGAGTTGTCTTCCGTGCGCGGTTGACGCTCGTGACTGTGGAGGTTGATAGACGCTATCCTGATAATAAGAGCCAAAAAATATAGTGTGTATACCGACCTCATGCTTTCCAGGCACACGCGAAACTTAGTGGTTCTGGTGCCTTCACATGGTGCCTGATGTCGAACAGCCACGGGCGCAGACATGAGCTAGGGTGCACGCCTAGAAGAGCTATGACTACGATTTCTCCTCCAGTCATGTTAACGGGCCAGGTTCATCTGCTGGAGGGGATACTTGCAATTAATGCTGCCCTATTTGAGTGACAAACGTGAAGTCCTCTGAGAGCATATGGCGGGAAAACAGCAGGACAGAAGCTGGCGGTTCACCTGAGCATCTTTTCGCCTGGCAGTGCAGTGCCCGCGGGACTTGCGGAAAAAGCGCAGCAACGAGCATGATGCTTCATGCAGGCTTGGGACTGCTCCGGTACATACCATGATTTTTTTGGTTGACCTCGCGGCAGCGTGAAAGCAAGCTGTGAAGTAGAGGAGGAAGGTAGAGAAAGCGATGTGTGTGTTAGGGCTGACGATTTCGACAGACACTTTGGATTTCGAGTGGCTGACGGGACTTCTAGATGGTTTTGGGGGGTTAGGCCACAAGGGTGGTTTTTCTTACGACACAAAGTGAGGAAGTCTCGCAAAATCCAAAGCGCAAAAGATAAGAAATAGGCCATAGTTTGTGTTGATTCATATTGTATCTATTCCCGGATGGTTGCAAATCCACTCGTGTTCACAGGGTCATCTTCGCAAACGGTGGTTTGTTGAGGGGGAAAACGCAAAACGGCCGTCGGTCCATAGAGTCGATGTGGGTCCAGAAGGTCCACCGTGGATCCAGAACGTCCATGAGGACCCAGAAGGTCCATGCGGGTCCATCGTTTTCTTGAAAGGGGGGAACTGCTTCCGTACCGGAGCTGCAGGACTACGTCAGCAGCAAGACGTCACAGTTGCTGAGCCTCTTTCGAGAGGCGGGCGTATGCCGGTGTATACCGGTGTATATTGCGGACGCGCTGTCGATTTTTTTTAAGGTTGCTAAGACATGGTGTTTCATGTTACATCAGCCCCTCCCCGCAAATAACAGTTCTTGAACTCTGGTTGTGGATCGTGGAGAAACCACTTTAACAGGATGAACGATGTTGATCAACAGTTATTTCAATGACCAACACCACGGAAATGGTGGTTTATAGACACCCCTGATGATGTATTTTCCTTCCAATAGCAAACCTTTGGGTGGTGCGGTGTATGACGGTTGGGTTTGCATTGAAACGGGGTCAGCTATGAATCGATGGGGGGAGAGCAAACGAGATGGGTGTTGTACACGACGTACCAAAAAGGCACTTCGTCCATATATTGGACTGCCAACCCTCCAAAATACGGTTATGTTGCTCCAAAGAGGAATAGGTTTGGGTGAATCAGATCGGTTGAAGTGCACATCAGTGAACAACAAACCCAGCTCGCAAGTTGAGTTCCCATGGCCCTCAAGAGTGATTTGAGTCTTATGGCTGTTGAACTTCTGAAGAAGTCGACACTGAACCCGCAACACTTCTGCGGCCTGGCGGGCTGCGATTGGAGAAGACAACTCAGAACAGGTCACAAGTGGGTTTTTGGGATCTCAAAACAAGTCCTTTTCTACACGTGTCGAACCTCTTCCATGAAGAGTGCACTGAAAGGATTTAAGTGAGTCTGCGAGTGGATCCCCCAACCAGCAGCCCGGGTTTCTGGGTGTTTGACAGGTTTGAGGCACTCAGGCGGGTGATCAAAGAAAAGCCTACCGATCCTACCGTGGCCTTGAAGAAGGTCTTTCAAAGTATGGTGAGCCCCAATGTGCACCTGGCACACCAGGTTTAGTCTAAACTAATTGAAATCGTCAGATGATTCGTCAAATCGTGTCACCTATGAACTATTTGACTAAGAGCTTTTCTCCAATGGTTCGACAGTCCATCTCGTGAATGACATACTGTTGTATGCCATACTTGTTAAAACACTTTGCTGATAAATTGGACTCTGGCCAGAGAGAGGAAGTGACCAGCCAGGCCAATACCAGCATCCGATGGCTCCTCCTCCAGCCTACCACGAAAGATCCCAAGCTGGAGAGTGTTTGCCGCAGCAGTGCGCGCATGCGAGAGGAGGTGTTCCTTGGACTACTGTGACTACTGTATATATAACTAACGGGAAATCACTGGTGCTGCGGGGTCGGGGTAGAGAGCATGGGACGAGAAGCTGGAAATGTTTGGGCTGTGGAAGGGTGTTTTTTGGGGGGACGCTAGACATCCCGTTCCTAGAGCCTCCCCGAGCAATAGATAAGCAATGGTGTCCCTCAAGCTCTTGTTCGGGGCTTTGATTGGACACCCCAAACGCGGGGAACCCGGTGGATTCTAGTTGATGTGAAGGATTTGCATCCTTTCCAGATTCCTTCATACCTGGGTCGTCTTCATCCACTTGGCATCCGTGGTTCGACTCTGGGAGCTGTGGAAAAAAACAAGAAAACACACGTGTTTGTTGAGGTCACCTACTGAGAAAACCCAGGCCTCCAGCGGCCCTTAAGGACGGAGGACAGGTCTGCATCCTGACACCGCTGCTCCGCCTTCCTTGCTGTTCTAAGGTTGGGAGCCTTGGTGGACACCGCCTTGCACCTCGGACGATCGAACAGGGCTGCCGCGGGTCTCGGTGGGAAGCTGAGAAGAACTACTAGGGGGTTGAAGCGGTGAGCCATTGCCATCCATGGAATCATGTTGGGAAGGTGAAGGTGTTCGAAGGTGTTCAATCTTTTGTTTTTGTGTAGTGAGACAGGGATTTTTGAGCAGTGAAGGCCGGGCACCTTACACCTGTTGACATCCAAGAAGTATCTTCCGGATTCCGAACCTAGTCTGTGACCTATCCAAGAATCAACCATTGTTCAAGGTCTCCAGCAGGAGCGCTCACCAACCTGCAGTTGGTGCTTGACCCACACAACCCGGATTGAAACTCATGCTTCTTCACGGCAGAACTGCCCACGTCAACTAAAAGCATCCGCTCCATTCCCCCCCCACACTCAACTCAGCCTCCACTCAGCATCCGCGCAGCATCCGCTCCACTCAGCTTCTCTGCAAGGCTTGAAGAGAAGGTCAAGGGCATTTTGATCCCTTTGGTCTCCAACCGCGAGGCGCCCAATCCGCGGCGACCGGAGAGACCACCAAAGGTTCACCCCTCCGCGCTTTGTGCGCTGGCAGATGTATGACAGGCCAACCCAACCCGCCCGGAGGCCAACCCAAAGCACCGGCGGTTGGCTCGTCTCGCTTGTTCGTGGAGCGACTTTACCGACTCCACGGAGCGGCCTGTGCAGGCGGACTGGGCGCGTTTGAAGGAGGAGGCGGCACTTTCGATGGATGACTTGGCCTTATTCTTCTCCGGGGAGCACGTGTCTCGGACTGGACGCGAGGTGGACGGCGAGATGGGACGACATAGTGGTCGAGGATGGGGGCAGGATGATGGGGTCCTGCGGCTGCCAGGAGAAGCCAGGAACTCTAAATGGAACGTACCGACTTGCTGTATGGGCATGAGTTGCAAAAAGGTTTCAGCATTCTTCACCATTCTTCACCCCATTTGGGTGTTGAAGAGAGACAGTTGATCTTTCACGACTTTCGGTGCTGCTTGGAGGGCTCTCCCCCAAAAACGAACCGAGCAGCTCGTGGTTTGTGTTTCCAGCATTTGAGCAAGGACACACCATCATGCCCCAGGGCATGGTGACCCTTGTGGGTTTTCTCCCAAATTTCCTGCATCTACATCCCCAAAGGTTCAACTTGTAACCGATCTTCTACATCCTTGGACGAAGGGATCCATTCCAGGCTGCAGACCGTTGGAGCACTTCTGTCCTTCCTGCAGACTGAAAAGCGCTTGATGCAAGTTCCCACCGGTGGCCCCTGAGAGTGGTTCCACCGGTGGCTCCACCGCAGAGACCACACTGCAGAGACTGTCTCCCGTCTCCCCAAAGCCCAAACCGAAAGCAAGGGGACCGGACATCACCGAACGAAACAGCGCAGGGTCATATCCAACATTGAATGCATTAGATAAGAATAGATCAGAGATTTAGGTTCCAAAACAGGGATTCATTCATGGACTCCGGTCACGCAGGTCGGGTCCAGATCACCCCGAGCTGAGCTCCAGCTCGTTCAGCAGCGAACACCCGCTCCAGCTAGACGCCGAACGTCTCGGTGGAACGCCGAAGGTCTCGGCCGAGACGTTTCCATCGGATCTCGAGGCCTTGAAACGGAAGGTGCGGAACGAGGAGTTGGAGGAACCCGCAAGGGATCCGGCGACGTGGGCCGTCGGGGCGGGACCTCGGGCGGGTTGCGAACGTCGCGAGGGCCGTCGTCGGAGCGACGGTGAGACTGGGTACCGTGTTGAGAGGAGCTGAGGTGAAGAAGGGCGATTCAGGTTGGCGAATGCCAATCTTGGAGGGGTTTTAACATGTTTTAACACGAGCCCCTTAGAGGTTAAGGGGTGTCCATTTCCCACCCTTGCGTGCCCTGGAAGATGTTGCCTCATGACCGACAAACAACTGCGGTCCCCACAAATGGCGACCTGATTGAGGGGGTCACGAGTCACCAGCTTTATATCCCTACACATACAAAACACTACTCAAGAAGGTAAAGTACAATCAAGGTATGAATTCCTAGGTTGGACTGGACTTGTAGGGATCAATACCTTCCTTCCATCCCCTTGGACCTCCTGCCTTCCCCGGTGCGAACCTCCGACTGCGGCGGAGAGGAGTTCTTTCGATCGTTGCAGCAGCGGATCGAAGAGCTGAGCCTAAGTCAGGTCAGGTCGCGGAAAGCCGGAAGGGGGGGGAAGGGGGGCCGTTGGCAGTGCCCCCCCTGGCTCGGCGTTCGGGGGTGAACCTGAAAACCACTGCAGTACCCCCCGTGGGGTGGACGGAACGAGGAAGCGACCTCTCCGCTCCATGTGGACCTCGGAGCGCTCGCTTTGGTCTTGGTGGACCACGTTTTCCAGGTGGCCCATGGGAGTTACAACGGTGAACGAGGCCGGAAAGCCTTGAATGAGGTCCAGTGGCAAAACAAGCGGGGAGCCAGAGTGGGCAGCAAAAGCACGGTGACTTGCAAGCACGGTGTTTACTGTGCTTGAATCTATCTCATTGCGAACAGTGACCTGCTGAACAGTGACTTCTTCGGTGGTTCGTTGGGGACGGTTGCCCAGTGGCTTCGTCTCCCGCGCCCGAAGCCGCAGAAGTCGACCGCCCGCGCGCCCGACCGACCGACCGCACACCCGTCGACCGCGGCAGCGATCGGTCGAACCGCCGGCGCTTCAGGAGGATTTCTCGTCTTTGGGGCGGAAGGTGGCCCAGGCCGCGGTCGAGAGGTCGATCCGATCCGATCCGTTGAGTCCAGATCCGTTGGGTGAAGAAGAAGGCATGTATACTTAGTCACTAAGGAGCTGACTGGGGCTATGGTTTTTGTATGTTTTTGTCCAAGAACCAATGTCCAAGTGGTTCTTTGGACTTGTGGGGACCGAATTTAGACTAGCAAACTGTGTGAAAGTGTCAGGGGCCTATTGACAATCACCAAGAACAATCACTTGACCTCTAGTTTCCTTTTCTGCGTTGTTGTGGCCCCCTGGTGGGGTGATTTTTCCGGCCGCTGCTGCGGTTGGGGCCTGTTGGGACGTTGTGCCACGGCCCAATCGGAGCACAGCAGAACAGCTTGGATACCCCCCCCTGAACACTGGATGGGCTGGACAGGAAGGTTTTCCAAGATGGGCTGAGAAACCGGAGAAAGACACGTTTTTCAATTGTTCTTTTAAGACTCAGGTCTCCAACCCTGAGATCAGGTCCCCCACCAGAAGAGCTCTCATGGTTTGAGTTGAGAGGGCGAACGGTGTTTTCATCTGGAAAAGCGTTTTTCAAGTTTGTAGAGAATGCACAGCATGGCTTTGTAGGGTTTTGGCTGCTTCTGGATATGATAGAGGCAGGCAAAATCACATCAAGAGAATCAATAAACATCAAGGTTGGGACTTGAGAAGACTCGGGCTTGAGTGATTTTCCTGCCTGGAAGTCTAGGGCCAACCGCATTTGGGTCTTCAGTCCAGCTGCCAGGAGTCCAGGTGCATAATTTTTTTCTCTCAAAGATGGTCACTGATCATCCATTTTACACTTTTACATCCGTTTTCATCATCCAGGTTGTGCTTTTCATGCTTCGGGAGACCCCGGTTTGAGACCCCCTGCTTTTCATGCTGACACCGAGTAGGACCTGGACATCCCCGGTGTGGCTTTTGGATCTCTGATGGCTTGCAGGTGGACAAGGCCCTCAATGAGGTGGCCCTTTTCCATGAAGCCTGGCTGGGAGGGTCAGTTCTTGTGTGTGATTTTCGTTTTATTGGTTAAATTGTAATTGTCCAGGAGTTCGATATATGGGGTGGAGGTTTAGAGGTGCCCTTGTCACATCCGCTCACTGGATGGGACGAGCCACACCACCCCGACATGTAACTCCTGGGTGAAGTTTTTTCATTGGCAAATCCTTTAGCAACGACCAAGGTCGCATATGCACTCACAGAAGGTTTATGAAGGGGGGACCTCCCTGTGCAATTGCAGAATGATTTCCCCGTTTTTGGTTCAACCTTTCAACTCAAGGGCTTAAAGCTCACCAATACAACCACTCGCAGGGGACCGCACAACAAGCTCGGTCCCCTGGTCTGAGGCGCACTCATCTCTATTTCTCCATGTCTCTTTCCTGCCTGCGAGAACCCTCCTCCCCAAAGGGACCGTGTTCGGTTCAGACGCGCGCCTTGTTCGGTTCGGGACCTCTCAGGAAGTCTCGCAGCAGCCGCAGATCTTGCACTTCCTCAGTGATGCACGGCACCTGAACGCCGGCGTTCGGCGTTCGGCGATCCGACCCGTTTGGGCATAGCGTCAAGAGGAGGACAGAGATGAATGACATGGCGTTTTGAGGGGATGGGGACACCCGGAGGTGATGATTCCAACTTGAGGAGTCTTGTGGGGGGATACGCCCAGTGGGCGGTCTAGCTGCTCGGGAGCACGTGTTGGGGTCCAGTTGAGTGGAGGAAACTCCCATCAAACCGTCAACAGACATTCTGTGAGCAGCCGCGTTTCTGGTCCACAGACGGTTCTATGGCTCAGAGGTTTAGTTTAACTCCTCTCCGTGTAAACACGGATATGGAACACCCCCTCTCCTGTTTGTAACAGGAAAATCGTCAATCCAAGGGGCCCAGTGCCGTGAGGGCCATCTACTTCCGATGAATTTCAGGGAGTATAACAGTATACTGTAACCAATTTGTACATCGACTGGATGGATCCAGCCAGCTATCCAGCCCCTTCACAGTCCGAAACTCAGCACCAAACCACCTACCAAGAACGCACCCTTCTCCGAAGGCAGCAGAGGAGTGAGGGGTGGGAGATTGACGTGGAACGGCATTGTTTTCATGGAAGGGCAGTCAACATGTGTTGTTTGTAGCTTTCTGTTTGGATGCTCAAAGATTTTTTTGAGTGTAGTGAGCCCCGTCCTGGGTTTGTGCGATCACCCTTTTCGACTTGCTGAAATCCTACTTCTGGCTATCACTTGTTTGTGCATTGGGTGCTGCCTTGGTGGCTGTGTGGTGGCAATTTGCCTGAGTCCTCGACTGCAGTGGTTTGGAACGCGCTTGTTGGTCTTTTTGCTGCAAGAGGCAGAGATCAGACCGCGTGAGGGCGGCTTGGTGGGGCAAGACCGCCTCTTGCGCTACCGTGCGTGAGGGCACGTGAAAGCCACCTGCAAGACCCTCAGGACACATCACATACTCCCATCACGACCAACTTGCACCTTCATCTCAAACTGGTGATCAGAATACTTGGGACGAAGTTTCAGGGGGTGAGCCGGAGAACCCAGATCCGGATCTCAGTGTTTGTCGCACTGGGGATCTTTTGTTTCTGGAGCGACAGGCTGACGGTGCTGGAAAGTGGCTTGCGTGGGGAAATACCCTACAGGCCTGTGAGGTTGAAAAGCAACAAGACGGGACAGCAGCCCTTCTTGATTTCCAACCTGGACTCTTCCGACACGATTGGACTTGGTACATCAAGAACGTGCAAGCTGTTTTCTGAGCTGTCAAGCTCCAGGAGAGACTTAGAGCGCCTGATCGTCACAGCCCTGTGTCAACAGCCTTTGCCAGTTTCGCCGCAGGTGGAGCATACTTGGCAGGAGCAACATGCCGGTTGCCGAGAGAGCCTTGAAGACCCTGAAGTGTGTCAACCCTCGAGGAGACGAAGTCGATGTCCTTCTTCTCAAGTGGCCCGCAGACAGCGATGCGTGGGCGATCTGCTTGCCTTGTCGAGTCAGCAGCACAGGAATTATCCTGGCTGTGCCGGGAGATGCCATTCCAGAGGAGGATCTGGAAAGGGGCCAACAGGCCGCAGCCGACGACCTGATGGGCCCAAATGCTCAGGTTACAGTCAGTCTGCAGGAAAACGCCGATCAGATCATCGAGGTGCAGTTGGTAGAGTTCACTCTGGATGTCAGACACAGCCTGGAAAGAAGGGCGCCTCGCAGCCGTCGCCAGCACAAAAGGTTTGCGGACAGCCAGGACCTCCCCAACTTTGCGGAGCTCGACGATGCGGTGGAAGGCTGGGTAATGAGCGGGTCACTTCGAGACACGGGATGGCAAACCGCCCAAGAAGCTCCAGTGCCGGAGCCTCAGGGCTTAGACCAAGTGCTCGCTGCTTTGGCAAAACTGGAAAGCCGCATGGACCAGCTGCAGAGAAAAGTAGACGGCAAACCTTCCAATCTTCACCAAAGCACAGTTGCAAAGGACAAGCCTGGGAAGAAGGTGGTCGAAAAGTCAGAAGAAAAAGATTGGGCCGACATTTTGAAGGCTTTGAAAGAAGAGGTTGGGCCTCGTCCCAGCAAAGTCTTAGACGAACCTGCAGCTCGCACCACAGCGCAGGAGCTAGTCAGCTTGGTGGAAGAAGAGATGGCTGCGTCGTCTTCAACGCCTTCTGTGGACGACATGATGAAGCTCAGTATGTTGAAGCTACTCAAGGACCTTCAGGGAAAGACAAGCAAGAAGAGCAAAAAGTTGCCGGGCTTGATAGGGGGGCATCGGCAGTTCCTCAGAAGAAGAAGGAGGAGAGACTTGGTCCTCCACCAGCCGAGGAGGCAAAGCCATCGAGGCGGTGGAAAAGCTTCGAGCGGCCATGAAGCAAAACCCTGGAGCCTATTTGGAGAGAATGGAGATGCGAATGCAGCGTGCTGTAGGAGCAGAGGAGATGGGTCCCACCATCCCCGAAAAGTTCATCCAGTCAGTCCCGGTTGGGCGATCTCGAACTGCCGGGTATGCTCTGACAGGCTTTGCGACCATTCACAAGCTGATGTTGGAAGGAAAGGCTCGACAAGCCCGCCTTCACACTGTACGCATGATGGCAGCCATGGAACAGTTTTTGTTGGACGAAAGCTGGGGAGTGGCAAGCCGCCTGACAGGTGTGGAAGAGCCGCCGTGGGCCCATTGGGCCAGTCAAGACCTTCCCTCAATCCGAAAGCAGTACATCTACACGCGACTGATGGACGCGACATGGATTGGAGCGATCATCAACGAGCTGAAGGAAGAAGAATGGCTGCTGAAAAAGAGAGGAAAAGGGGGCGGCAAAGGCGAGCAAAAGAACAAAGACGACATGCAAAAAGACAAAGGGGAGTGAAAGTTCAAGACGAAGACCTTGAGCTGAAGAACGAAAGCACTACGACTTTTTCCAAAGGCCAAGACTACCAAATTGCGTCTTGGTTGGAAGACCTTCTGGATTCTATGCGGCGGTCTTCCTTGCCTTTCTCCTGCTATGTGATTAGCACTTTTACCAGTAGCGCAGCTCCACCACCACCAACTTCAAAGAAGGAGTTGTTTCCTTGCCCGCCTCCTTTCCCTTGGAGAAATGACAACATGTCGCTTCGAGGACGATCCCGGAGAAGGGCAGCCAGGTTCCGCGCTCGGAGGGCGACTGAATTGTGGACCAACCTCATGGTCTGCGCTCTTAGCCATCAAGCTCTGGGAGTGAAGGTTGCCCCGGCACGAGGGAGGAGTGGAGTTCCACTCAATGTGGCACAGAGGGAGATGACAGATTTCCTCCTGAAGCTGAGTCGCTCGATGGTTCGCCTGAGTTCCCCGGAGCTTGGATGCGGCCTCCGGCTACCAGCTGTGAAAGATCATCTGAACCAGCTGAGATCTGAATTAAGTGCATGTGATGTTTTGCCGTATGCCCGTTCAAAGAGATCGTTTGGCGAGAAAAGTTCAGACGCAGCTTTTGCTGCCACCAAGGCACTTCCAGTGGTTGCTGAGAGGCTCAGTCTCCCTTCTCAGGTGTCAAACTTTGACCCAAGGCCTTATTTGTCAGAAAAGTTTCGGGAGATTTATGAGAACCCCGATGTGATCCTCAAAGCCCCGGAAGACATGCCACCGCCGATGCACATAAAGGGCACCGCTACCCGTGCAGAATTGTTAAATGTCTTTTCTCGTTGGGATGTTTTGGACCGGTTGTTTGTGTGTCGCAGTGATGAAGTTTGCTCTTTGGATAGGTGTGAGCTTTTTGCTGTTGCTAAAGATATGGATAAAGACCGTCAAATTTTGCACAGGAAGCGTAGGAACAAAAGAGAGTATCATGTGGTAGGAGAGTCACGGAACCTTCCTCATGGTGTTTTGTTGACTCAGTTGCCTCTGGGAAAGGACAAGGTTTGTGTTTGTTCTGTTGATGACATTCGTGACTTCTACCACGCCTATGAAGCTACAGAAGCGAGGGCTCGGAGCAGCCCAGTCGGGCCAATTTTGCGGTGGGGCGAGGTGGCTCATTTGAACGCTGCAAAGGCAGCTCTGGCAGCCAATCGGATCACGAAACATGACAAGTTGGTGTGTTGTTTTCGGGGTCTGGGGATGGGCGACCATGCTGCGGTTGACATAGCTCAAGAAAGTCATGTGAACTTGTTACGCAGTAGGGGCGCTCTTCTCCCTGACGAAACCCTGAACTATAGACAACCTATCCCAAAACCCGAAAGTGGTTTCTATGAGGGCATCATGATTGATGACCACCTGGGGGTACAGTTGTTGCCTTGGAAAGGCAGCGTTGAGAAAACTCTTTCCCAGCCTGGTCGAGACGTGGAAGCTTTTGCTCAGGCAGGTTCTGCCTATAATTCGGTTAAGCTCCGAACCCACGAAGGCAAGGAAGTTCGACGAGCTTTTCATGCACGAGTATGGGGTGCCGAGGTGGAAGGCATCGCGGGGCTCATTGGACCAGCCCGGAACAAACTGCTCAAGCTGGCTCAACTTTCGGTCTTGATGACTGAAGCGGGGCCAGTGGATGAAAAAATGATTGAGGCGATCACAGGGCTGTGGGCTTTCAATTTACAGTTCCGCAGACCCCTGTTTTCTTTCATGTACGAAATTTACCACCAACTTTCCCCGGGAAACCCTGGTGAGCTGTTTAAATTGTCTCCCGGCGCCCGAAACGAACTTTTGGTTCTGGCCTGTTGCGCTCCCCTTTGTATTTGCGACGCCCGCGCTCTCCCGGACCCCTTTCTCTACTGCGTCGATGCGTCTCCGTCTGGGGCGGGTGTTTGTCGGGTGGAGGTGGGGGAAATGGTGTCGGAAGAGGTCTGGCGTCGAGGAGACAAGGTGGGGTACCGCATGCCTCTGCTGACACGGTTGCAGTCTACCTTGAAGGGTAACGGTCATAATGAGGAAGATCTGTGGGACTCAAGCTCTGATGAGAGTATTGGGGGGCGGGGGAGAAGCGTGCGATTGGGAGCATGGATTTCTTGACTGTCTCAGGAAAGAGTCTCCTGCGCTGGTACTGTCCGAAGAGCCTTTTGATCTGTTGGAAATCTCCGCCGAATGTGGTCAAATGTCTCAATCTTGGATAAGGAAACGGTTGCGTGTTCTCCCGCCTTTGGATTTGAAAAAGGGTTGGAGCTTTATGGATCCTCAAGCGTTTGTTGGGTTGATGTCGTTTATTAAAGCGAGAAAAGTGAAGTTTCTTTGGTGGGCCCCCCCCCCGTACTACGTTTTCTTTGGCTAGGACCCCTAAAGTGAGATCGCTGGATGACCCATGGGGTTTTGACGTGTTGACTGAACGTGTGGTAGAAGGCAACCTTCATGTTTGCCAGTGCATCCTGCTGGCAGGTGTTCAAATGGCGGTCGGAAATTTCATGACAGGAGAAACTCCTGCCAGAGGCTGTTTGAAAGCCTTCCCTCCTTGGATACATTTGACCACGATGACAGGTGTTTTTGAGCTGCTTTTTGACTGGTGCCGCTTTGGCCAGAACTGTAGGAAAACGACTAAGTTAATTTCTAACTTTCCGCCTGTGCGGCGGCTGGGCTTGCGATGTTGTCACCAGGTTCAACAGCGACACTTGGTTGCGAAAGGGGTGAAAGGGGAAAATACCACCAACTGGGGGGTCTACTCGAACTCCTTTTGTGACCGCGTGGCTGACGTGTTTGTGCAATGGGCTCTGGTTGTGTCCCCCCCCCAATCCGTTTGGGATGGATGCCCCTGAAGGTTTGCTTTGTGCGGGGGATGGAGATCGGAACACTTCTCATTTTTGTCAACGCGTTGACTCAACTTTGGCCCCGCGCCAACGGCGGAAGCGGAAAGGAGGTTCGGCCTTGTGGGCCGTGCAGCTGTCAGAAGGTTTGACGTGGAAACCTTGGATCAAATACCAGTTTCGCCAAAAAGAACACATTAATTTGCAGGAAACTAAAGCGCGGCGAACCTTGTTTAAAAGGTTAGGTCGTGACAAAAGGGTTGTGGTTGCTCAGGACAGTCGTGTGAACATTGGATCTTTGGGCAAAGGGCGGAGCCCCTCCGCTTCCCTCAATCGAATTATGCGCTCCGAAGCTCCGTACATTTTAGGTAAAAACTTGCATGTGTCTAGCATTCATTTCCCTACTTGGTCACTAAGAGCGGATGGCCCAAGCCGAAATCACCAGGTGTTAGGCGCACGCACCCCCCCTACCAGTTTGGTTTTGGAAGCTGCGGACTGGCGCCCGCGAGGCTTTGATTCAGCTAGATGAGTTGCAGGGCTTGCCACGGGCCTACAACCGCTGGTTTCTTCTGGCTGGTTCTTTGTTGTTGCGGAATGGTGAGCGGAGCTCCCAGACCTCCTCAGATGCAGGTGCGAGACCGTGCTTTGATCGAGCGAGGTCGTGTGACGGCCCGTACTCAGAGCATCCGACAGGACCTGCTTACCAAACTGGAGGTTTGGTTGGCAACTCAACTGCCCGAGGTTACTTTGGAGGATTTGGCTCGGCATCACATCGATGTTTTGTCCGAGTGGCTCGAAGAATATATGGTCACCTTATATCTGGATGGTCAGAGCCGCAGGTCAGCAGCCGAGACTCTGAATGTGGTGGTCCAAAAGTTTGGTTGGCTCAGATCCTCTCTTGCCGCGCCTTGGAGCGTACTCAAGACATGGGACATGTTGGAGCCAGTCACTCATCACCCGCCTATGCCGGTGCAAGTGCTCTATGCTCTTGCGGGTACTGCCATGGCATGGCAGTGGCCGCACTTTGCGGCGTTGCTGGTACTGGGCTTTTTTGGATTATTGAGACCCTCAGAGCTTATAGGTTTGCGACGACAAGATCTGTCTCTCCCGCAAGACCATTGGGGCGACAATGTGATCTACGTTCGAGTTTCCCAGCCGAAAACTCGTTTTCGGGCAGCTGCGGCGCAACATGTGCGCCTCGACGAGGCCGGCATCGCCGGCTGGGTGCAGACGATCTTCGGCTCGATGCCGATGTGGCGGAAGCTTTGGTGCGGCTCTTTGGCTTCTTTCAAAACCAGGCTGGACTTGGTGCAGCGTGAAGTGCTGACTACGGTCGTGTTTTTGCCAAGCTCACTGAGGCCCGGTGGCGCCACCTACCTGTTTCGTCTGTGGTCAGAAGACCTGGTTCGTGTTCAGTGGCGAGGTCGCTGGAAATCCTTTCGTATGCTCGAGACTTATGTACAGGAATTAGGTGCTGCTGAGATCTGGATTCGTTTTCCTGTAAAAACACGAAATCGCGTCAAGGTTTTGGGAGACTTGTTTTTGCGTCTTTTGCATGTCTGTGGTCCTGTGGCTGCCACCACCGCCAGCAATGCACCCGAGCCCGCCCGCCCGTGATGGGGAGGGTGGGACACAGAGACAAGAATTTGAAGAATTTGAAGTCAGTGTCCCAGTCAAA